GCTGCTACCCCTGTGCTTCACGGTTGGGATGGTGTTCTTCGGCTTGCAAGGTACCCCCTTTTTCCTCCAAACATAACGATGGTCATTATTGCCAAACATTTCTATTTTTGTTTCATCAGACCAGAGGACATTTCTCCAAAAAGTACGATCTTTGTCCCCATGTGCAGTTGCAAACCGTAGTCTGGCTTTTTTATGGCGGTTTTGGAGCAGTGGCTTCTTCCTTGCTGAGCGGCCTTTCAGGTTATGTCGGTATAGGACTTGTTTAACTGTGGATATAGATACTTTTGTACCTGTTTCCTCCAGCATCTTCACAAGGTCCTTTGCTGTTGTTCTGGGATTGATTTCTACTTTTCGCACCAAAGTACGTTGATCTCTAGGAGACAGAACGCGTCTCCTTCCTGAGCGGTATGACGGCTGCGTGGTCCCATGGTGTTTATACTTGCGTACTATTGTTTGTACAGATGAACGTGGTACCTTCAGGCGTTTGGAAATTGCTCCCAAGGATGAACCAGACTTGTGGAGGTCTACACATATTCTTCTGAGGTCTTGGCTGATTTATTTTGATTTTCCTATGATGTCAAGCAAAGAGGCACTGAGTTTGAAGGTAGGCCTTGAAATACATCCACAGGTACACCTCCAATTGACTCAAATGATGTCAATTAGCCTATCAGAAGCTTCTAAAGCCGTGACATCATTTTCTGGAATTTTCCAAGCTGTTTAAAAGCACAGTCAACTTAGTGTATGTAAACTTCTGACCCACTGGAATTGTGATACAGTGAATTATAAGTGAAATAATCTGTCTGTAAACAATTGTCCTAACCGACTTGCCCGACTTGCCAAAACTATAGTTTGTTAACAAGAAATTTGTGGAGTGGTTGAAAAATGAGCTTTAATGACTCAAACCTAAGTGTATGTAAACTTCCGACTTCAACTGTACATCATTCCACTGTCCGACGGCTCATCTACAAATGGAGAAAAGTCCACACCACTGGCAATCTACCTAGGACAGGTCGTCCCACCAAATTCAGCCCAAGAGCTGACCGAAAGATGCTCATAGAAGTCTCTAAGATCCCCAGGGTAACATCAAGGGATCTACAGGCCTCTCTTGCCACAATCAATGTCAACTGTCAGAAAGAGACTGCACAAACGTGGCCTACATGGGAGGTCAGGAAGGAAGAAGCCTCAAAAAAGAATATCAAGACATAACTGACATTTGCCAGACAACACCTGGGTAAAGACCAAAACAACTGGAACAATGTGCTATGGACAGATGAGTCATAGGTGGAGTTGTTTGGCCGCAATGCCAGACCTATTGGCGAAAACCAAACACTGCCTTTGAACAGAAGAACCTCATACCAACCGTAAAGCATGGAGGCGGTGTCATTATGGTTTGGGGCTGCTTTGCTGCCTCAGGGCTTGGCCAACTTGCCATCCATTGAGTCAACCATGAATTCTGTATTGTACCAGAGAATTCTTAAGGAGAATGTGAGGCCATCTGTCAAAAAGCTGAAGCTGAACCGAACATGGATCTTGCAACAGGACAATTATCCAAAACACAAAGGCAAACCTACAACAGAATGGCTCAAAAATAAGAAATGGAGGGTAATGGAATGACCGAGTCAAAGCCCAAATTTCAATCCTATCGAAATGCTCTGGGGGGACTTGAAGCTGGCTATGCATGCAAGAAAGCCATCGAACAGGACACAGTTGAAGCAGTACTGTAAAGAACAGTGGGCAAAAATTCCTTCCAGTCGATGTAAGAGCCTAAAGGCACAGATTCACATTTTAGTCATTTAGCAGACGCTCTTATCCAGAGCGACTTACAGTTAATACATTCATCTTAAGATAGCTAGGTGGGACAACCACATATCACAGTCATAGTAAGTAAATTTTTCCTCAATAAAGTACAGTGAGGGAAAAAAGTATTTGATCCCCTGCTGATTTTGTACGTTTGCCCACTGACAAAGAAATGATCAGTCTATACTTTTTATGGTAGGTTTATTTGAACAGTGAGAGACAAAATAACAACAAAAAAATCCAGAAAAACGCATGTCAAAAATGTTATAAATTGATTTGCATTTTAATGAGGGAAATAAGTATTTGACCCCCTCTCAATCGGAAAGGTTTCTGGCTCCCAGGTGTATTTTATACAGGTAACGAGCTGAGATTAGGAGCACACTCTTAAAGGGAGTACTCCTAATCTCAGTTTGTTACCTGTATAAAAGACACCTGTCCACAGAAGCAATCAATCAATCAGATTCCAAACTCTCCACCATGGCCAAGACCAAAGAGCTCTCCAAGGATGTCAGGGACAAGATTGTAGACCTACACAAGGCTGGAATGGGGTACCAGACCATCGCCAAGCAGCTTGGTGAGAAGGTGACAACAGTTGGTGCGATTATTCGCAAATGGAAGAAACAAAAGACCTGTCAATCTCCCTCGGCCTGGGGCTCCATGCAAGATCTCACCTCGTGGAGTTGCAATGATCATGAGAACGGTGAGGAATCAGCCCAGAACTACACGGGAGGATCTTGTCAATGATCTCAAGGCAGCTGGGACCATAGTCACCAAGAAAACAATTGGTAACACACTACGCCGTGAAGGACTGAAATCCTGCAGCGCCCGCAAGGTCCCCCTGCTCAAGAAAGCACATATACATGCCCGTCTGAAGTTTGCCAATGAACATCTGAATGATTCAGAGGAGAACTGGGTGAAAGTATTGTGGTCAGATGAGACCAAAATGGAGCTCTTTGGCATCAACTCAACTCGCCGTGTTTGGAGGAGGAGGAATGCTGCCTATGACCCCAATAACACCATCCCCACCGTCAAACATGGAGGTGGAAACATTATGCTTTGGGGGTGTTTTTCTGCAAAGGGGACAGGACAACTTCACTGCATCAAAGGGACGATGGACGGGGCCATGTACCGTCAAATCTTGGGTGAGAACCTCCTTCCCTCAGCCAGGGCATTGAAAATGGGTCGTGGATGGGTATTCCAGCATGACAATGACCCAAAACACATGGCCAAGGCAACAAAGGAGTGGCTCAAGAAGAAGCACATTAAGGTCCTGGAGTGGCCTAGCCAGTCTCCAGACCTTAATCCCATAGAAAATCTGTGGAGGGAGCTGAAGGTTCGAGTTGCCAAACGTCAGCCTCAAAACCTTAATGACTTGGAGAAGATCTGCAAAGAGAAGTGGGACAAAATCCCTCCTGAGATGTGTGCAAACCTGGTGGCCAACTACAAGAAACATCTGACCTCTGTGATTGCCAACAAGGGTTTTGCCACCAAGTACTAAGTCATGTTTTGCAGAGGGGTCAAATACTTATTTCCCTCATTAAAATGCAAATCAATTTATAACATTTTTGACATGCGTTTTTCTGGATTTTTTTTGTTGTTATTCTGTCTCTCACTGTTCAAATAAACCTACCATTACAATTATAGACTGATCATTTCTTTGTCAGTGGGCAAACGTACAAAATCAGCAGGGGATCAAATAATTTTTTCCCTCACTGTAGCTATCAGCAGTCAGAGCTAGATGAATGTTTTGTTTAGCATAATTTATCCAGGTTAGTTTCATTTGAGATGAAATGTCTTAAGCAACGGACACCTGGTAGGACCTGGTAAGAGAGAGACTGTACTCAGTTCTGGTGGTTCAGTCTCATGCCACTAACCAGTAAGACCTCTTACCCTTGACAGTGGAAGTGGAACCTCCCATGTCCAATCACTGTGATGACATTGGTGTTAGTCGGATCCGTGAGGTCATTGGGGTTAATAAGGGGAGGTCCCTGTTCCTCCGTCTTCCTGCCTGTCTCTCATCATTACTTTAGAATTCCAAAAACTGATGTACAAATCGCAGATTGCCACTGTAAGTCTTAGTGTGAATACATTTAAATTAAAGCATATAAATGGGAGTGCTCAAAAAGCCTCTAAATTTGGTTTACAGGCTATTAGTCTTCTGGGTGGGACTTCCCCAAGACTGAGAAATACAACAACTGTACCATTTATGTAATGTTTCCAAAAGGGTATTAAACCCTTGTTGTTTTTTCCAGATGTGTTTGGTATTAAAATAAACAGCCAGTATTTTATTAATACATGTGATCTGACTGTTGAGTCTTCTCCTATTCTCCTTTCACATGAAATAGTATTCATACTGAAATCCATACTGACTACTTTTAAGGAACTGGATGGACAAAACTGGTTAATTCAACCCTGAGAGCCACATGAGTGGGAAGGAAATGTGATATGGGTTTGCATTGTCAGAACCGAGCCCTTTGATCACACAAAAGCACCTGTCTAGGGCTGTAGCTTACATTGTGCTCTCTGGGTGGACACTGTATGTGTGTCACCTGTTGAAGGCTAGTGTGTGTCGTTTTGAAAGGCACCCCTGGTGTGTGTGTGTGTGTGTGTGTTTTTTAGTAGGACAGCAGACAGGGTGAGCTCATGGTCCTGCTTTAACAAGGAGTGTCTGAGCCTGCCCAGCCTTGTCCACACACACCACAGGCACTCGTGCTCTCTCTCTCACAACACATGCACGGTTCTCTCTCAACCCACACACACACACACACACTCCCTCACACTCTCTTTCTACCTCCTCCCTCACTGTCTCTCAGGGCCAAAACAAACACCTCCACTTGGACTCGACTGCCCTATGCCTGCCTAGTACCCATGACTCATCGTGAGAGGAGAGGGCACCAGGAAAATGGCCTCTCTTGTACAAATACAAACATATGTGCACTCGTGCAAGCTATGTACACAGTACACAACAATTCCCATCAAGACTTGAATCCTTTCCTTTCCAGTGAGAGGCCTCACTTAAAGGTATGAGCCAGTCCATAGTGTTTGTTGACGTGGCTGTGACTCTACTGACAGATCCAATGTGTTTACTACAGTATTGTGTTGAACACCACCATGCCCGGCCACCGCTGATTTGACATACTGTAGTATCATAATAGTGTATAGTAGCATGTATGACTGATGTCCTTTTCTTTCTGTCTCTGCAGGGTGACATAGAAAAGGGTATGGAGATGAAGAAACTGGTTCTGTCTGGCTTTCTGGCCAGTGAGGAGATCTACATCAACCAGCTGGAGGCTTTGCTACTGGTGAGACGCACACACACACACACTCACTATCAAGGACACGATATGGCGGCCTTTCCCCCGCTCTTCCCTTTCCTTTATGTAGTGCTGTCTGTGTGGGACTGTGCTGGACAGCATTAGCCCTCAGGCCAGTGTGTCAGCACCATGGTGGCTCCAAGTAGAGCCGCATGGGAGACTGGGTTTCTAAAAGCATTATGCCTTTTCGAGAAGCTGTGCTCTCATCTCTGTGAGTGATATTAGTGGATAGTGGTCGGTCATATTTAGAACAGAAAAAAAGGCCAAGTGTTTCCTGAACCAGAGAACACATTGACTGTGTCCCCCCTGCAACTGCAGCGTGATGTCACATCCTGTCTCTCTCTGCACTACTGCAATATGTTCAAAGTACAGTTTGTTCATGAGCAAACCATGAGATGTAGCACTTAACAGGGTTCAATTTTACACACCAGTGTCTTAAACAGAAACAGCAGTTAGAAGTGCGGCAGGTAGCCTAGCGGTTAGTGTTGGGCCAGTAACCGAAAGGTTACTGGTTCAAATACCTGAGCCGTCAAGGTGAAAAATCTGTGCCCTTGAGCAAGGCACTTAACCCTAATTTGTAAAACAACACATTTCGCTACACCTCTCCGGTGTATGTGACAATAAAACATATTTGTAAAAAAAATTATATAACTACAGTGGGGAAAAAATGTATTTAGTCAGCCACTAATTGTGCAAGTTCTCCCACTTAAAAAGATGAGAGAGGCCTGTAATTTTCATCATAGGTACACGTCAACTATGACAGACAAATTGAGAAAAAAAATCCAGAAAATCACATTGTAGGATTTTTAATGAATTTATTTGCAAATTATGGTGGAAAATAAGTATTTGGTCACCTACAAACAAGCAAGATTTCTGGCTCTCACAGACCTGTAACTTCTTCTTTAAGAGGCTCCTCTGTCCTCCACTCGTTACCTGTATTAATGGCACCTGTTTGAACTTGTTATCAGTATAAAAGACACCTGTCCACAACCTCAAACAGTCACACTCCAAACTCCACTATGGCCAAGACCACTATGGCCAAGAGCTGTCAAAGGACACCAGAAACAAAATTGTAGACCTGCACCAGGCTGGGAAGACTGAATCTGCAATAGGTAAGCAGCTTGGTTTGAAGAAATCAACTGTGGGAGCAATTATTAGGAAATGGAAGACATACAAGACCACTGATAATCTCCCTCGATCTGGGGCTCCACGCAAGATCTCACCCCGTGGGGTCAAAATTATCACAAGAACGGTGAGCAAAAATCCCAGAACCACACGGGGGGACCTAGTGAATGACCTGCAGAGAGCTGGGACCAAAGTAACAAAGCCTACCATCAGTAACACACTATGCCGCCAGGGACTGCATGTTATCAGATCTTCAACCAAAACTTAATATAAAGGGAACCTAAGTGAACAAATAACACAACAATTACATACTTACTTCATTTATTTCCTTAACAAAGTTATGCAACACCCAATGCCCCTGTGTGAAAAAGTAATTGCCCCCTTACACTCTCAATAACTTTAGCTGCAATGACTCCAACCAAATGCTTCCTGTAGTTGTTGATCAGTCTCACACGTCGCTGTGGAGTGCACTCCACAGTAAGAACCTCATACCAACAGTCAAGCATGGTGGTGGAAGTGTCCCTTAATAGAAGGGACCATGAATTCTGCTCTGTATCAGATAATTCTACAGGAGAATGTCAGGCCATCCATCAGTGAGCTGAAGCTGAAGCGCAGCAAGGTCATGCAGCAAGACAATCAAGTCTACATGAAAATGGCTAAAAAGCAACACATTTGAAGTTTTATAATGGCCTAGTCAAAGTCCAGACCTAATCGATGTTGTGGCAAGAGTTGAAACGAGCAGTTCGTGCTTGAAGACCCACAGATGTTGCTGAGTTAAAGCAGTTCTGCATGGAAGAGTGGGCGCAAATTCCTCCACAGCGATGTGAGAGACTGATCAACAACTACAGGAAGCATTTGGTTGTGGTCATTGTAGCTAAAGGTGGCACAACCAGTTATTGAGTGTAAGGGGACAATTACTTTTTCACACAGGGGAATTGGGTGTTGCATAACTTTGTTAATTAAATAAATAAAATAAGTATCAATTTTTTGGTTATTTGTGAACTCAGATTCCCTTTATCTAATATTAGATTTTGGTTGAAGATCTGAAATATGCAAAAATTGAGAAAATCAGAAAGCGGGCAAATACTTTATCATGGCACTGTATGTTGTTACAGCCTGAATTAAAAATTTATTAAATATATTTTTTTCTCTCCATCCATCTACACACAATACCCCATAATGACAATGAAAACATGTTATTAGAAATGTTTGCAAATTTATTGAAAATGACATACAGAAATATTCTAATTTACATAAGTATTCACACCCCTTTGCTATGACACTCCAAATTGAGCTCAGGTGCATCCAATTACCTTTGATCATCCTTGATGTCACTTCAACTTGATTGGAGTCCACCTGTGGCCAATTCAATTGTTTGGACATGATTTAGAAAGAACCACACCTGTCTATATAAGGTCCCACAGTTAACAGTGCATGTCAGAGCAGGAACTATACCATGAACAGTCTCACAGTCCCTGCTTTAGATCAATCAATCAATCAAATGTATTTATAAAGCCCTTTTTACAACAGCAGATGTCACAAAATGCTATACAGAAACCCAGCCTAAAACCCCAAACAGCAAGCAATGCAGATGTAGAAGCACGGTGGCTAGGAAAATCTCCCTAGAAATGCAAAAACCTAAGAAGAAACCTAGAGAGGAACCAGGTTCTGAGGGGTGGCCAGTCCCCTTCTGGCTGTGCCGGGTGGAGATTATAACAGTACATGGCCATTAAGGCCAGATATTTCTCCAAGATGTTCATAGATGACCAGCAGGGTCAAATAATAATCACAGTGTTTGTAGAGGCTGCAACAGGTCAGTACATCAGGAGTAAATGTCACTTGGTTTTCATAGCCGGGCATTTAGAGGTTGAGATAGCAGGTGCGGTAGAGAGAGAGAGTTGAAAACAGCAGGTCTGGGACAAGGTAGCATGTCCGGTGAACAGGTCAGGGTTCCATAGCCACAGGCAGAGGAGTTGAAACTGGAGCAGCAGCACGACCAGGTGGACTGGGGACAGCAAGGAGTCATCAGACTAGGTAGTCATGGGGCTCAGGTCCTCCAGGAGGGGAGGGAGAGAGAGAATTAGAGGGAGCATACTTACATTCACACAGGACATCGGGTAAGACAGGAGAATAACACCAGATATAACAGACTGACCCTAGCCCCCCGGCACATGGTCAGCAGTGGGTGAGAAAATAAATACATTTAATACATTTTGAGTTCAGGCTGTAACACAACAAAATGTGGAATAAGTGAAGGGGTATGCATACTCTCTGAAGGCACTGTAAGCCTATGAATCATTTTAAAAACTGATGTTTATTACAATGGGTCAACACAAGGGCATTTAGCCCATAGCATTGCTTATGAAAGCTAACATGCTGTAAGCTTATTAATCATTTTTGAATTGTAGCACTTATTATGACACTGATTTTCAACCTGGATGTGGAGATGGATGACCTTAGCAACACATGAATGATGTTTTGGTGTGATTCTGTTTTATTTGGAGGGAAGATGATGATAGTGATATCACTGCTCTTCTTTTTTGGATTTCCCTCAGGATATCTAAACTCTTATCTGTACTTGATAAGCCTGGGATCATCCGCCAATCCCAGGCTTATCAAGTACAGATAAGAGTTTAGCTATCTGGAGGGAAATCCAAAAAAGAAGAGCAGTGATATCAGTGTAGTGCACAGGCTTGATGCCTGTGCAAGCATATTTTTACTAACATTGTGGGATGTTTGGTCCGATTTGTAATCGTGGTGTGTTCAGAACTGTGTTTCCCTCCCTACTAAATGGAACAGCTCAGCTCTACTCTGTTCTCTAGTCTTTGGTCATGCTGCAGCGCCCGCCCCTAATAATAAAGCACTGCTGACCACCGCCCAGGATCATGATTATTTATGTTTTGAAAGTGTCAGTGCATGTATACACACATACCAGTACACACATAAACACACACTAACTCTCTTCTGAATGTGTGTGTGTGTGTGTGTGTGCAGCCCATGCGCCCCCTGAAGGCCACAGCCACCACGTCCCAGCCGGTGCTGACCATACAGCAGGTAGAGACCATCTTCTATAAGATCCAGGACATCTTTGAGATCCACAAGGAGTTCTACGACGCCCTCTTCCCTCACATCCAGCAGTGGGATGAGAAGGTCGCCGTCGGACACCTCTTCCAGAAACTGGTAAGGGTGACAATCAACCAGTCAGTCAGTCTGTCAATCAATCAGTCAATTATTCAACCAATCAATCTATCAACTTATCATCAAGCTCTTGATTTAGTTGAAGTAGGTGTGTTAGTAGTACTGGGTTGGAGGACAACTTGGAAGTCTAGTTCAAATAAAATGTATTCCAGTGTCTGCCTGCCTGCCAGATGAAAATCTTTGCCAGTGCGTGTAGGCTTCCTGCCCCTCCCCCTCCGAAGCATAGTCTACTAGCCTACTGACGTTACAAGCGTTATTCAGAAATTAGGGAGAGATTTCTTATTAGAGAAAAATAGACTATAGTATCCTTATCACGTTTGACATTGGATTTATTAACTACAAAAAGTTAAGACGTTTTTATTTATATTCTGGTGCCGCTCTGCACTCGCAAGCTTGTTAGCTAGCTAGCTAGTTTTGGTATAACGTTATGCCAACTCTCTGAAGTTCAACTTCAAATACATTCAAAGTTCCTTCATAGAAGCCGGTCCTCCGTGTGTATAATTCTGTGGGCCTAATTTAGATAATGCATGTCATAACAACAAGATGCCCAGCGCTTCCTCCTCCGTCTCTCTCTCTCTCCCCACACACAAAATTTGTCGCAAATCGCGCCCTACACTTGTCTGTCCAATGAATGTAATTAGCTTGCCCACTCCATAGCAAGTTGCTCTATCTGCTAAATGTCTAAAAATATATATATATTTCTGAGTTTTAAAAATGAACAAAAAGGAACGATATAAACAGTTTTTGGGGTTCGAACCGGTTCATAACTTTATTTTGCTGGTCAGAACAATGGAACGGAACAGAAAAAAGAATGGTTCTGTTCAGAACTAAACGATTAAAAAATAATTTTGGTGGTTCAAACCCCTGATTGTAACAGCATAGATTTCACCTCCCTCTGTTCAATCTATACCCCTCTAGGATAAACATTAAATTACACTGGGGCCTGCCCAGACATTAGTCCCTATCCTGCTCCTACTCCCCTATCCATCTCTCTTCCTTCCAGCTGTCCTTTTAAACCGCAAACTTCAGTTTCTCTAACAGGCTGGTTTCTGAGAATTGAATGTTCATGTACTGTAGGGTCTTGACTCTTGACCCAATAAAGGGGATTTTTAAATGTAAAGATTCTCTCTCTCTCTCTCTATTCCTCCTCTTCCTCTCATCTGTCTCTCCTTTGTGTTATTTTCCCCCCATCTCTCTCTCTTCCCGTCTCCCTTTTTCTCTCTCCCCCACTCCGCCCCCCTACTCCCTCTCAGTAAGCAGACAGTGCAGTATCAGTAAGTGAATGTTAAAGTGATGCTCCAGAACCTTTTGTATCATTTTAGCCAGTAGTTTTGAAAGTGGTGCTCAAGAGCCAAAACGGGTCCCCGTTTTTGGTGTCCTACGTCATCCAATTGTGTACTACGTCATCCATTTGGTATGTCCTGCACATTTTTATAATGTGTTATGAATCCAATTCGTACAATATGTTACAAATTAGTTTTGCTTAAGATCCTGGACTGCATCTCTAATGGGATGTAATGTCTCACATTAGGCCCTGTCTCTTTCCTGCATTACACTGCTCATTAAACCCCAGAGTGTGGAGCCTGATTGGTTTAGGGAATGGTTCCATGAATCTGATTGGGTTAGGAGTGTTCTGTCTCTCATAAGGAAGGTCTCTAAAGGAGTTAGGTCTCCCATGTGATACAACACCACACTGACAGAGCAGACTGATGTGATTAGCAGTTAGTACAGTATTCCACTTAGTATGGTGCTCTGCATTTGTGACTGTGTATTGTTTTGTCGTAGAAGCAAAGTTTTAACCTCTATTTTCAATTGGATAGAAAAGTTTCTAATCGTTCATTATACTTACGTAACTTTATATTAGGTTAACTCATTTAGTACATTGTGAGTGGAAGGACATTAAGCAGGAGTCAAATTACGCACGTGCATGCGCGCACACACACACACACACCACAGATGTCTCGCCGACATCCATTAGCAGAATCATCCAGTTCCATCTGGGAGGTGTGTGTGTGCGAGTGTGTCGCGTGGCAACTAAACATTTAGACAGGCCTGTCTGTGAGGGAGCCACCAAACAGTGTACAGATGGTGTCATAATTACACCGCACACTCCCCACTGCTCCCTGTGTGGGGCGCTGGAAACACTACAGTAGAAACAGAGAGCGAGATAGGGAGATGGAGGGGCGAGGAGAGGGGGATCAAAGGAAAGAAGGAAGGGAAGGAGAGAGAGGAGGGGAAAGAGAGGGGCGAAAAATAAAGGGAAAGAGAGCAAGAAGGATGGAAAACTCTTATTTTCCATCTCTTGCTCTCTCTCTCTCTCCTCTCCTATATATTTCTCACCCTCTCCTCTGTCTCAGGGTGTTGTTTTCTAGTACCTGTGATGCTCTTGGTGAGAGACCAAAGTGTGTCTGCCAACGATGTAAATGTTGCTAGGAGAGAGCCTTTGCCATGATGACTGATTGGGTCAGAAGGTTCTCCAAATCTGCAGGGAAAGATGGGTACAGGGGAACATAATGGAAGATGTGCCAGAAGGGGAGAGAGGAGAAGGGAAAGAATATTGATCTCTGCTTTGAAGTGTCCTCAGAGACCTCATGGTTCCTCCACTTCTCCCCTCCAACAGCGATGATGCGTCACACCACATGGGTAGAGGAGGAGAAAGGGAGGGAGGGAGAGAGAGAGCGAAAGGGGGATGGAGGGCAGAGCACACATACAGTAGCTTAACAAGTTCTAATTCATTTAACCTCTCATTTATTTCTCAGCCCCATACCTTTCTCATTCCCTCTATCAATGTCTTGACTAGCTCTCCCTAGTCCCTTCACCGGAGCTGTTTAAGTATGCATATTCATTTCCTGGTCCAATTGCCTTCATTAGCAGGCACAGAGAGGCCCGAGCGATGCAACTGGCTGATTGACTGGGCTCCAATCAGGAACGTGGGACCCGCAGCAGGGAAGGGCTTTGTGGAGATGTGATAAGAAGGCGTCCAAGGGAGAGATAGCTGCTAGCCAGCGGAGCCGCGGCCCTGTTAACTCTGGCAGTGTGATGGAGTTGATTAAAAATCACTCCTGGACTGGATGGAATTTATAGAGTCTGCATCGTTCACAATAGATGTTCTTCACGCCTCTCAGGAGTGATAATTTGAATGGGAATTAATTTGGTGCAAAACAGGGGTGTCAAACTCCCTTTGCCCCTGGGGCCACATAATAGTCCTCTATCCATAATTTTTTGAATTTTCTATGCTCCCTGACTGTCTAGCTTTCATTTCGGTGATTATTAGTGAGCTGGACACAGTCAAGAAACTGTATAAATGTAGGTCCATTATCATTTCTACACATTTTCCATTTGGTTTTAGTCATTTTAAAGTATATTGAATTACATTTTTATACAGTGCATTCAGAAAGTATTCAGACCCCTTCCCTTTTTCCATATTTTGTTACGTTACATACAGCCTTATTCTAAAATTGATTAAATATTTCTTTTTCTCATCAATCTACACACAATACCCCATAATGACAAAGCGAAAACAGGTTTTTAGAAATGTTTAAAAAATATATTTTAAAAAAAGTACATAAGTATTCAGACCCGAAATTGAGCTCAGGTGCATCCTGTTTCTATTTATCATCCTTGAGATGTTTCTACATTTTGATTGGAGTCCACCTGTGGTAAATTCAATTGATTGGACATGATTTGGAATGGCACACACTTGTCTATAATAAGGTCCCTCATAAGACTCCTGAACAGCTAATCATGGCTACCCGGACTATTTGCACTGCCCCCCCACCCCATCCTTTTTACGCTGCTGCTACTCTGTTAAGTATTTATGCATAGTCACTTTAACTCTACCCACATGTACATATTACCTTTAACTACTGTCACTTTATTCTATTGTATATATAGCCTCCCTACTGTCACTTTATTTTTTACTTCTGCTCTTTTTTTTTCTCAACACTTTTTTGTTGTTGTTTTATTCTTACTTTTTTGTTTAAAATAAATGCACTGTTGGTTAAGGGCTGTAAGTAAGCATTTCACTGTAATGTCTGCACCTGTTGTATTCGGCGCATGTGACCAATAAAATTTTGATTTGATTTGATTTGATTTGACAGTGCATGTCAGAGCAAAAACCAAGCCATGAGGTCGAAGGAATTGTCCGTAGAGCTCCGAGACAGGATTGTGTCGGCACAGATCTGGGGAAGGGTACCAAAACAATTCTGCAGGTCCCCAAGAACACAGTGGCATCTATCATTCTTAAATGGAAGAAATTTGGAACCACCAAGACTCTTCCTAGAGCTGGCCACTCGCCCAAATTGAGCAATCGGGGGAGAATGGCTCTGGTCAGAGAGGTGACCAAGAACCCGATGGTCACTCTGACAGAGCTCCAGAGTTCCTCTGTGGAGATGGGAGAACCTTCCAGAAGAACAACCATCTCTGCAGCACTCCACCAATCAGGCCTTTATGGTAGAGTGGCCAGATGGAAGCCACTCCTCAGTAAAAGGCCTGTGATAGCCCGCTTGGAGTTTGCCAAAAGGCACCTAAAGGACTCTGACCATGAGAAACAAGATTCTCTGATAAAACCAAGATTGAACTCTTTGGCCTGATGCCAATCGTCACGTCTGGAGGAAACCTGGCACCATCCCTACGGTGAAGCATGGTGGTGGCAGCATCATGCTGTGGGGATGTTTTTCAGTGGCAGGGACTGGGAGTCAGGATCGAGGGAAAGATGAACGGAGTAAAGTACAGAGAGATCCTTGATGAAAACCTGCTCCAGAGCGCTCAGGACCTCAGACTGGGGCGAAGGTTCACCTTCCAACAGGACATCGACCCTAAGCACACAGCCAAGAGAACACAAGAGTGGCTTCGGGACAAGTCTCTGAATGTCCTTGAGTGGCCCAGCCAGAGCCCGGATTGAACACGATCTTAAAAATGTTCTGGAGAGACCTGAAAATAGCTGTGCAGCGACGCTCCCCATCCAATCTGACAGAGCTTGAGAGGATCTGCAGAGAAGAATGTGAGAAACTCCCCAAATACAGGTGTGCCAAGCTTGTAGCGTCATACCCAAGAAGACTCAATGCTGTAATTGCTGCCAAAGGTGCTTCAACTAAATGTGATATTTAAGTTTTGTATTTTGAATACATTTGAAAAAAGTTATAAAAACCTGTTTTTGCTTTGTCATTATGGAGTATTGTATGTAGATTGATGAGGGGGAAAAAACTATTTAATCAATTTTAGAATAAGGCTGTAATGTATCAAAATGTGGAAAAAATCAAGAGGTCTGAATACTTTCTGAATGCATTGTATATATATTTATTTATTTAACTTTATTTATTTATTTGATACCCCTGCTCTAAAGCTTTACACTGTATGGAAATCTGATTGGTTTCCTCTGAGGGACTTGGATTGCGTCATCCAATACCCCTCTCCAGTCTTGGGTGTAGGATAGGGAGTTCTAAACATAAAAGAAAAGAAAGGAAGGTTCATTTAGGAGTCTTAGTTTTCATCCAGACGCCATCTTTTTCTTTCTTTCTCCTCTTCATCCTCCTTCTCCTCATCCTCCTCCTCTTCCTCCTACTTTTCCTCTGTCCACTGTGTTAATTTTTTGTCCTCTCCTCTGTGGTCCAGGCCAGCCAGCTGGGGGTGTACAAGGCCTTTGTTGACAACTACAAGACAGCGGTGGAGACAGCAGAGAAATGCAGCCAGGCCAACACCCAGTTCCAGAAGATCTCTGAGGTAGGTGTTGGTTACACACACAAGACACACACACACATACATTCACACTCACACCCTGCACATCAGTTGTGAGGGCTGCAATTTGTACTAATATATGGAGTTGTTTCCCCAGCCCTACAGTCTGCTGCAGCAGCTCCATTCCTCTTCATTAGTCCTCTCAGCACCACTCAGCCTCAACCAGGCTGTGTGTGTGTGTCTCTGGTTGTGTGTGTGTCTCTGTTTGTGTGTGTGTCTCTGTTTGTGTGCGTGTGTATCTCTGTTTGTGTGCGTCCTGCTTCTATACAACAGGAGGTTGGTGGCACCTTAATTGGGTAGAACGTGCCCGTGGTAATGAATGGAGCGGAATGAGCGGAACGGTATCAAACACATGGTTTCCAGGTGTTTGGTGCCATTCCAAAGGTTCAGTTCCGGCCATTATTATGAGCCGTTCTCCCCTCAGCAGCCTCCTGTGTTCTATACCCTGTTCCTATACCGCTAAACCTGTAATACACCAGCAATCACAAATCATTCATTTTCTTCCAGAACCTGAAAGTAAAGGGACCCAAGGACTCGAAGGACTGTAACACAAATGTCACTATGGAAGGTAAGAAATGAGTTCTGATCTAGATGTGTGTCTGAAGGTACTGAAGCTGCTATGGCTCTTTAAGACTCTGTAGCCTTGTCTCTTCTGCTTGTGTATGCAGCGGCAGGCTTAGGGAGGCAAGGCTCCCTCCTGTGCGTGCGTGCGTGCGCGGCGCTCTCTCTGCTCCGCTCCCCCCTCTCTCTCTCTCTCTCTCTCTCATCCCTCTCTGCCTTTCCCACTCCTCTCTCCTCTTCCGCTCTCTCTTCTCTCTCTCTCTCTGACTATGGGTGTTGGAGATGGACAGAGAGTGGAGGCAGAGAGAACAGAGGAGGAAGTGTGAGATGGAGATCCTACTGGTACTCAGACTGTGTTGTAACTGCACATACGGTAACGTGTGTGTGTGTATGGGAGAGCATGTGTGTGTGACAGTACATTTGAGGTAACTTGTGTGTATAAAAAAGCCTTTGTAATCTGTCTTTATTCCTTTATTGTACGTAAAGGGTGTTTGCTGGTTCTATAGTGTGTTGTGTAGCGTTAACAATTGCACTTGCCTATATGTCTATACGAGTATATGTAAGGTTCTTTCTTGGCTGGTGCTGTGAATACGTTAGTGTGGATGCTGTATGGTAAAGTTACTGGTTTGTGGCAGTGTCTTAGATGTAGCCGGGTGCCCATTAGTTAATGAGCTGTTTTGTATTCTGGGTGAAGACAGTCGCTACTCTCGTCTCTCGCCAGGTTCTCTCTATCCTCTCGTTTTTGCTGAGAGAGAGGGAGACAGTCTTTGTGCTTTTTCGCTCCTGGCTGTAGACGTGTGTACATATCTGTGTGTGTTTGGTTTTGCATGTATGTGGTTGTGCTCACACCTTTCTCTTTGCATGGTAGAAGGTTGGTGTGTGGTTGTGTGAGCCTGTTCAGAAGTGTACCTGTGTTACATATATTATATGTGTTTGTGTGTGTGTGAGGGTTTAGTGTTTGAAGTTGCGGTGAGATTATCCTCCCTGGCTGGGTCTGCTGTCAGTCTGTCATATCAGCAGACAGACAGCACTCACCTTTAAGGTGAAACACTAGAGAAAGTCAGAGGGAAAGAGAAGGGGACGCGCAGAGAGAAAGATGAACAAGATGGGGAAAATATAGAGGAAAAGATAATGGTGGAAAAAGGAGGAGGAACCCACTGGGCACAGACGTCAATTCAATGTCTATTCCACGTTGGGTCAACATAATTTCATTGAAATGACATGGAAACTACGTTGATTCAACCAGTGTGTGCCCAGTGGGAAGAGAGGGGGAAGAGGCTGTGGATGTGTGGATGATTTCTCAAGTAGATCGTGGATGGATCTCTTTATAAGCAGAGCACGTTAGCCCATGTCAGGACTGACTGTTCCAGACTACCCCTCCTCATACACACCATACTTATCTACTGAGTACCATCACCACGCCACTTCAATCAGTGTGTGTATGTGTGGTAAGCACTCATGTTTTGAGTGTGTATGCGTGTGTGCATTTGAGTGATGTCATACTGCTCTGGCCGGATTTTGTAAACTTCAGGGGGATTGGGTTAAACCTGGCAGCAGATCAAAGTAGAGAAAGATTGAGAGAGAGAGAACAACAGAGCAGTAAAAATACAGAAATATATGCAGAAATATTTGCAGTATGTGTGGTACAGCCAGACAGTAACAGAGTTCAAGTAGAGGTAGGCTTTAGATTAGAATGTTATGAAGTGCTAATGGTTGTTTGTGAAGAATACACTCTGTTAGTCCTGATGATCACAGTTATACCTGGTTGAGTTCAACTTCACACCTTTCCATCCCGAAACATCATGTTTTTAATAGATGTATAAATAAAGAAGTTTAAGCACGTTTTTAATTGTGAGCGAGAGTTGTCAAGAGTTGTCTTTTTCCTCAATGCTCATCCCCGAACCCACAGCATTTCACACACTGTCCAATCTCCCAGTCTCATTTGGCACACTGTCCAATCTCCCAGTCTCATTTCACACACTGTCCAATCTCCCAGTCTCATTTCACACACTGTCCAATCTCCCAGTCTCATTTCACACACTGTCCAATCTCCCAGTCTCATTTCACACACTGTCCAATCTCCCAGTCTCATTTCACACACTGTCCAATCTCCCAGTCTCATTTGGCACACTGTCTAGTGGCTACTGATGAAGCCAGTTAAACTGAGCAGGTAGTCCGTTTCAATCTATTTAACACAACACAAATGTATTACTGCATATTGAGGACTGCTGTCCTTCTTCTTCTTCTTCTCTCTCTCTCTCTCTCTCTCTCTCTCTCTCTCTCTGAGATGTGTTAAGATACAGACCCATTTCCATATCTGCTCTATTGTTTCAGCACTGGGCTGTTTTCAGAGCTGTAACATGTGGATAAGAATATAGCTGTCTGCTGAGATGCTCTGCTCCACTGTTGATAATCCCTACTTCTATTATATATCCCATCTCTCTGTCCCCCTCCCACTCTCACTCTGCTCTCTCTCCCTCTCTGTCCATCCGTCTCTCGGTCCCTCACATTTGTAGTGGTTGACTAGAGCAAAGGCACTGATTTGTGGTCCAACAGCAATGTATTGGAATTTCTCTAAAAACCCTTAACCCCATAGGGATATCACTAACGGGCATCAGCTCCAAACCTTTAGGTAGAAACATAATAATTCCATTACACTAGGTCAGGGATGTGCAACTCCAGTCATCGGGGGCCGGAGTGGTGTCTCACTTTTCCCCCATCCCTAGCAAACACAGCTGATTAAACTAATTGCATTCTAAACTAAAGATCATGATTAGGTGATTATTGGAGTCAGGTGTGTTAGCTGGGGCTGGGGCAAAAGTGTGACACCAATCAGGCCCCCGAGGACTGGAGTTGCCCATCCCTGCACTAGGTGGCGCTCCGCTATCCACTCTATATGTTCTACAAGTCCTTTTAGTCTGACAGCCATGCCTGTCCCTCCCATCCCTGTTGGACTGACCAGACCACAGCCTAGACCACTGGCTTTATTAACAAGACAAGTAGAGATCATCATGCTACCACCACTTCATTTTATCTTTTCATATTCACTAAGAACAACACCTACTTCAGGGTTTCCCAACCCTCTCCTCGGCCCCCTAAACTGGCACACCTGATTCAATTAGTCAAAGCCTTGATGATTAGTTGACTAATTGAATCAGGTGTTCCAGTTTAGGATAAGAAAAAATGTCTGGGGGGGGCCGAGAAACCTTGATTACTGTATTATACATATGTTAGACATGACTATATTCACAATTAGTCATATGTTTATTAAAAATATATTCTAATCCTGCCTCCTCCTCTGTCTGTCCCCTTCTCACTGTCACTCCTCACACTTCTCTCTCCCCCCCATACTTGATCTTGTCCTTCCTCTCTCTGTCTCTCTCTCACTCACTCACTCACTCACTCGGCACAGTCGGTGAGGGCTGGGGTTGGCATTGATCAGTATAACCAAGTCTAGATGCCAGTCAGGGAGCTGGGCTGGCATATGTCTATCTATCTATCTAAGTCATGTCTCAGTGTTGTAGATCCAGGACTGTTGATTGGCTGTGACCCACATTGACACCCTGGTTACCGAGAAGGAGCTGTCCGTCAGGTTGTCACGGTGACCTTGAGGAGGGTTCCATCAGAGGCGCCCGCTGTTAAGCTCTATCTGTTTTCTATAATCAGCAACTCCTCCATCACTCCTCTCATCAACATCCCTCACTCCACTCCTCTTCTCTCATCTTCTATGGCCCTTCTGTTCCCCTCTCTTCCCTCTCGTTGCTACTGAACTTTGAACTGTACATCTGTCTGCACTGCAGAGTCCCTGACTGACTGTGTCCTTGGAGATGAAGGGACTGAGACGAGGGGTGTTCAATCAGAAGTCAGTTCAAAGCATGGGGTGGTACTTTTAATTAGCTCCAGTGAAGGACAGTGAGGTTGAGTCTATTGGCCTGAGGCTTTGTCATGGAGAGAGAAGTATGTTTTAAATTCATAAAGAAAGAAAAACTTTAACTTGAACAATTACCACTGTTTTGTATGTAGGTCCCCCCAAAGCCTATGAGCTGGAGTGTTAACTCACATTCACATATCCACACAGGAACTGGTAGTGATAAAAGAGAGACAGCAGAAATTCACTGGGATCCTGTTCAGATGTGCTGATGGGGCTTCATAAAACACACACACGCACTCTCACACACACCTAGACTCTCCTCGCCATTGACACCATTCATTTCCATTGTAATGAATGTAGATTCTGCAGTTAATTCACACAAAAGGCAGTAGAGTTTATTAATCCACGATGGAGGATGGAGGGAATACAGGGAGCATTATTAAGGGAGGGAGGGAACATGAAAGAGAATCAATGCTTTTTCATAAGCACCGCTCCAGTTGAGGCTCTGTTGACAGTCTGTGACACAGTGTGTGTGTTATAGAATATGAAGCCCCATCAGTAGTACATCTGAACAGGATCCCAGTGGATTTCTGCTGTCTTTCTTTTATCACTACCAATTGAATCAGAGGCGAGAATAGGAGGAGGGAGATGGAGAAAGAGGGATCATTTCAACAGCTGTACTGCAGATGAGCGCGAGAGAGACATTGAGATGCCTCTACTATAGATGTACAGAGTGATGTTCAACCAGATAATGAGTGAGTGAAGTGTAATGTATATTCAGAGATCACAAGCAGCTCATTACCAAAGCCCAAAGCTTTGGATGTTCAGTGGAGATGGTAGACATGTCAACAGGAGCCTGTACCCTACAGCTAAGCTGCCTTACCCCTTCACCCTCTCTCTTCCCCTCTTTTCGTTTTCTTTCCTTTCTTTCCTTTCTTTCCTTCTTTCTTTCTTTCTTTCGTTCTTTCGTTCTTTCTTTCTTTCTTTCTTTCTTTCTTTCTTTCTTTCTTTCTTTCTTTCTTTCTTTCTTTCTAGCTAGCTAGCTAGCTAGCTGTCAGCCCCGCAGGTGCTCTGTCTCTCAGCTGCAAAGCCTCCTGGGAAATCAGCCTAGTGTGACAGATCTGGTTTGTAACTGGATTGGCTCCTGAGCTGTGAGTTCAACCGGGAGAGAGATGGAAAGAGGGAGAGACAGATTAAGAGAAGTTTAGAATAGAAAATTAGTTTTGAGGCCAAAGGAAAATTGTGTGTGTGTGAACACGGCTTGGCATAGTTTCCCTAGTAGCAGAGATCTGCAATGGAATCAAAGTGCTATGTAACCAATAAGGATGCTGCGAGGCTGGAGCTTCACTGCATGTTAAACAGGCTGTCTTTGGAGACGTTGTGTGTGTTTGTATAGTGTGCACAACCTGACAAGGAATTACGTAAACCCTGTTACAGAGTCTGGTGATGCTGAGCTAAATGACTGTGTGTGTGTGTCAGTATTGGGGAAGCTACTCTGAAAATATAGTTGGGGAAGCTACTCTGAAAGTTAAGCTACACTAAAGCTACCCTTACGAAAAATAGTTTACTTAACTAAAGTTACTTTGAAAAAGTAGTTCACTACATAAAAACTACTTTGTGAAAAAAATTTACATATCTAAATCTCTAATGTCATAGACAAAACACCCTCTGCCAGACAGATCCCTCTGGAGTCAGATGTTAACAGAATATGTAATTTAACCCATTAAATACAAAAACTGGTCTAATGCCCCAGAAATTGTGTGTAGTTCCAGTAGTTAGCTACACCGCTACATGGCAAAACAAGTTAACTACTGAAAAAACTACCTAGATTATAATTTAGTTCAATTACCACCAATATACTGCAAAATGTCGTTAAACTATATGTAGTTCACTACTCCCCAACACTGGTGTGTGTGAGAGAGAGAAATGACAGAATGAAACAATAAAGGAAGTGTTAGAAAAAGGGGGACATCAAACAACCCTGCACTGCATGCTGGGAGAGAGAGGGCCAAGACCTTGACTCAACCACTCACACATTGTATGGATAGATTCACCCTCCTCTGCAGTATAGAAATACTGCATTCCCCTTGGCTCGCTTGTCATCTATATGATATAAGATATGAGAGGCGCACTGTGAGAACGAGAAATGTAGACAGGGTCAGGAAGTTAATCCTGATGTGAATTGAGTGGGAAGGTTTCTGAAAACAACCTTATTCAGCAGAGAAGGAATAACAGAGCTTAGAAAGAATGAGGTGTGTGTGTGTCCCCGTCTCTGCAGGGAGCAGACACCTGAGGTTCTGGATGATAGAAATGTCTGCCCCTTACCCCAGGAAACCTACGCCCAGTCAAGTGTGAAATAGGCTTTTTGAGTCGTGTTTTTCTGCATTGTGTGTGTGTGTGTGTGTGTGTGTCAAACCAAACTGAGTGCCCTCTTCTTGTCCTTTCCCACAGCTCTCCTGTACAAGCCGATTGACCGTGTGACCAGAAGCACGCTGGTTCTTCATGTGAGTACACACACACACCAGTACATTCACCGTCACGACTAGCATGAGGTAGATCCATGAAGGATTCCTGATCTCACCCAGAGACAAATGACAAGATTGAAGAGATAGATTGAATAGATAGGACAGGATCGATACTCATCAAGGATTAAGAGTTACTGCTGTCACGTTGTGTAGTCATGAGAAACATAGTGATGGGGCTGGGTAGAATCTCTCTAGAAAGCCCCGCAGGTCATTAAAATTCAGCTTGGTTCTGTATCCACCTGCGAAGACAAACCCTGCCTGCTGCTGTTTATAGTACGTGTTGCATTTGCCAAGCCTATACTTTTCCTCTGCGCTGTCCATCGAAATGACATGCTGTTAGAAACAATAGGCTCTAATTTGATGGGCTACAACCAAGTGGAAAGTGAAACCGCAAGCAGAAATGCCTAGACGTCTCCTCAAGTCCAGCTTCCAGTGCATTTCATGAATATGTTTGACATAAAGCTAGTGGAGCCGTGACCAAACAAAGACCAGTTGGTTTGCTAAAAACAAAGGTGGGAGCAGATCACGCAAACACACTGGCTGAGTCCCAAATGGCACCATATTCCAAATTTAGTGCACTACTTCTTCCATAGTGTTTGACCAGGGCCCATAGTGCACAATATAGGGAATAGGGTGCCATTTGGGACACAGACACGGACAAACAGTGAAAGTTACTGTATTATTATCTCTTAATGCCGTACAAAGACTGGTACTGTACTGTACCGCTGACATCAGCTCAAGCCTTCTAGAGCTTGTCGGAATACATTTACGGTAGTGTGCTGACAAGGCATAAATCAGGCAATGGAAAAGAGATGGGCTTTTCTTTCACACACTCCTCTGAAAAAAGGAACTTCGTTACGCTGAGAATAAGGTATTTGCGATGTGGAAGCAGGCTGTCTCAGCCATTTCTTAGGTAGCACTTTAAAAAATAAAGTAATTAGTTACGCCCACAGTTCAATAAAGGAGAGACTCTCGTATGCTTTTATTAGAGGAAAATATGTGGAACAAAACTCAGCCATGCATCCAAATAGTCCAATTCATCAACATAGGTTTAAAAACACATGCACAGTGACTGTCCAAAGACATTTCATTTTAATGGATGTGGGTCTCTATGTTTTTGGATGGGGGTCCCTGTGACCATTTGAGAGTTGCATTCCCAGTGTGTGTAAAATCTAATGGTCTTTCTCTCTCTCTCTCTCTCTCTGTGTTATTTTAGGACCTGCTGAAGCACACCCCTAAGGACCACCCAGACTTCCCCCTGCTGCAGGATGCTTTGAGGATCTCCCAGAACTTCCTGTCCTCCATCAATGAAGAGATTGACCCCCGCAGGACAGCCGTCACCACGCCTAAGGGAGAGGTGGGGTCACACACAGACACACACACCATTGTAATAGACTACCTTATACTTCTTAGCACTTCTTGTTGAAACCTTGGGGAAGTGTGCCAATGTATTTGTGAAATGTGTTTTTGGGGTCAGAGAGAAACCCACAGTCTCTCTCCTTCTCCTCCTGCCCCCACATCCTCAATCTCTTCATTACCAGCTTCCTCTCTCTCCCTCCTCTCTCTTCATCTCTCTCTATCTCCCTCCTCTCTCTTCATCTCTCTCTATCTCCCCTCTCTCTCTCTCTCTCTCTTGCATCTTTTGATCTTTTCCCTCTCTCTCTCTCCCAGCATGCAGTGCCGGGTTGTTTGATGTCCCCCTCTTTCTAACACTGCCTTTATTGTTTCATTCTGTCGTTTTTTTCTGCCTGTCAGCCTTTTCTCCTCTTACTGCCTCTCTCTCCTCTCTCTCTCCATTTCTCTCCTCTCTCTCATGCCTCCTCCTCTCTGTCTCTCGTCTCTCCTCTCGTCTCTCTCCCTCGTCTCTCGATCTCTCTCCTCTCGTCTTCTCTCTCTCTCATCTCTCTCTCTCTCTCTCTCTCTGAGTATATGGTTTTTACAGTCTCTGCCTGCTGAGTCCTTCCTCTCTTCCTTCCTTCCTCTATCCCGCCATCTCTCCCTCGCGCTTTACCTCTCCTCCTTTCTCCCTCCATCTCTCTTCAGCTCACCTCCCTCCATATCTCTCTCCCCCCATCTCTCTCCCCCCATCTCTTCCTCTCTCTCCCTCTATCCCTCTTCCATTCAGTCAGCTCAGTTCTTAACCTCCCAGTCAGCTCTCCATTCGTTACATGTCTGTCTGCTACCAGTTAAATGGAAAAATCTCGCTGCCCTCTTTGGCTCAGACTTTCCTGATTACTCCAGTTCTGGTTTAGCGCTGCCTTATTTTAGCTTTCCTAGTTGGCTTGCTAGAGATGGACAGATGCAGAGAGAGAGAGAGGGGAGTGTTTTAAGTTCTGAGTGGCTTACTTTAGCTGATGATTCTCTTGCTGTAACACAGCCATCATTGATAATGCAATAGACACATATAAAATATAGACAACAAGTGAATTCTTTCATATTGCTGAACCTTGACCTGTACCTCCTACAGTATATCCTGTCAGGAAGTGAATGTTTACGACTAGGCTAGTTGCCCCGTGCTGGGCGTGCCACATGAAGTGATGCTGTTTCTCTCCCTGGTAGGCTCGTCAGCTGGTGAAGGATGGTTTCCTGGTGGAGGTGTCAGAGGGTTCCAGGAAGCTGCGTCACGTCTTCCTCTTCACAGACCTGCTGCTCTGTGCCAAGATGAAGAAGACCTCCGCAGGGTAGGTTAACGCTCACAGAGCATCAACACAAACCCATGCACATTCAGGTATATACATAAACCCACTGTGCTATTCACTGTGCATAAACTTAGATTATACACTCTTGAGTGGTCTCCAGTGTGAGTTCATTATCCTAAGTCTGTTGAGAGGTGGGTGTGGTAGTTGTGCGCGCGAGCAGAGCACCAGGTGTCTGGTTAGCAGAGAGGCTGATGGAGGCCACAGCCCATCAGTGTGTGTGTGACTGGAGAGAGAATAGACTAGTCTGTCACCCGAGACTAGACCAGTCATCCATATTAACACTTAGACACTATTTTCCTCCACCTCACCTTACCTCCCCGCTCACTGAGAGACTGTGAGAGAATACGCTGCCCATAACAATGTATCTCCCTCTATCCCTCTCTCTATCTCCTGTGAATCTATCAAACATTTTTTACATTCTTATTAAAGGTGCGTTCGATAGGAGAGAGATGGCGAGAAAGAGAGAAGAAAGAGAGACCGAGTGATACAGGGAACATACTCCAATAGCCTCTCCTTCTATGAGCCAGACTGATAGCTTGTCCCGTATTCCTACAGAGTTCTAATGGAATTGAGTAGTTTTCTGTGATCTGGAACAGTGTATCAGGATGGATGACAGCCCTGCTCAAAAGGGATTCTCTCTTTCACTGCTGTTATTATTTCCTCCATTTTAAAACTCCAAAGTATTCTCTGATGTTATAATTAAAAAGGAAGACTATTAATTGAAAATTAGAATGTAGTCATACATGATGCCTTTGGTGCTGTAGACCAGGGGTTGGCAAACTTTTTGGCTCGAGGACCACTGCGGGATTTTGAAATTCAACGGAGGACCGCACAGATTTTTTGGGGGACTGATTTGTTTGTCAAAGTCAATTTGCGTGCCAGAAAAAGGGCAGTTATTTTAAAAAAAAACACATAGGTCCATTATAATTTGTACATACTTTTATATCTAGTTTTAGATGTTCAAGAGTGAGTGGCCTGGAGTGGGTTAAAAAAATATATACATTTACTCAAGCCTCTCGGGGTTGGATGTTTGCCCTTCTGTAGACTATTGTGGAGAAATGGTTTAGAATAGTGATTACAGGGCTCGTATAGGGCTGAATATTAAGAAATTGCCGTTGTGGATGTATGGATGTTGGGAAATGGATAGAATACAGCAAGGCATGTATTACAATCTGGTCTCAATCTGGTACTTGGGCCTAAGGCGAAGTGTTTGTGTGTGTGTGTGTGTGTGTGTGTGTGTGTGCGTGCGTGTCTAAATTGGGAATGACAGCATACACAGCCGTAGATTAAGTGTTTAATTTACAGGATTGCCTCCCATGGCATGGTTACCGATGTTAGCGTGATTGGGGCTTATTGTGATTGACAGTCGTTGCTGCCGCTGTCCTGCTACCTCACCGTGTGAAGGACATACAGACAACTACCGCTGTCATGGTTACCTCCAGTCTGTAAATCACTCTGTTATGGTCTGTAGCTTTAGCTATCTGTCGCTGTGTCCCAAATGGCACCTTATTCTCTATATAGTGCACTATGGGGTCAAAAGTAGTGCGCTACATGGGGAATAGGGTGACATTTCAAATCAAATCAAATTTTATTGGTCACATACAAATGTTTAGCAGATGTTATTGCGGGTGTAGCGAAATGCTTGTGTTCCTAGCTCCAACAGTGTAGTCGTATCTAACAGTTCACAACAATACACACAAATCTAAAAGTAAAAGAATGGAATTAAGAAATATATAAATATTAGGATGAGCAATGTCGGACTGGCATTGACTAAAATACAGTAGAATACAATATATACATATGAAATGGGTAAAGCAGTATGGAAACATTATTAAAGTGACTAGTATTCCGTTATTAAATTGACCAGTGATTCCATGTCTATGTACATAGGGCAGCAGCCTCTAAGGTGCAGGGTTGAGTAACCTGGTGGTAGCTGGCTAGTGAAGGCTATTTAACAGTCTGATGGCCATGAGATAGAAGCTGTTTTTCAGTGTCTCTGTCCCAGTTTTGATGCACCTGTACTGTATGTGAGACGCAGCCTACTGTATGTGTCCTCTGATCTGGACTATAACACTATAGGATTAGGCCAACAGCCAATTAAAACACGCTATCCAGTTGATAGCTAATCATCAGTATTAACTCACTGAGAAACCTTAATCCCATTCAATCCCTCTATATCTACTCAATCATCATGGATTATTAATGTTTATATTGACTCCACAGCCATATTTATTTTCCTACAGAATTGGTGTATAATATACCACCTTTTCCCAATGTAGAGATATAAATTAAGATGTAATCTATGTGATTATGGTGAACAAGGGCTGTGAAAAGCTCATTGGGGAGCGTGAAAGTGCTGTGGACGGACGGGAGGAGATTAGATATGCAGATTGTATTCAACAGCAGCGGAGCCAATCTTGGTCCCCCTAATCAGCTCTACCTCAGTCTGTAATAGAGAGAGTGTTTATTAAGTAGACACTAGATCATCTTAAACACTTCTTGGGCATTTAAACAGCGCATGAATACAGATACACACCTTAGAGACAACAACAATAACACTCCATGGACCACTCTGAGACAAAGGGTTTGCTTACAAGGGGGAGGGGGCCGCATCTCACCCCGTATTAAGGAGGAGAGGAGGACTCATAAAAAATTGAGGGATATCTGCAGGCGAAGGAGGGGGTGGGGGTGAGGGTACATATTGGGATGAAGAGACAAAACAAGAGAGAGATATTTGCTGTCTCCATCCTCTGTAGCTCAATTGGTAGAGCATGGCGCTTGTAACGCCAGGGTAGTGAGTTCGATCCCCGGGACCACCCATAAGTAAAAATGTATGCACACATAACTGTAAGTCGCTTTGGATAAAAGCGTCTGCTAAATGGCATATTATATTATATTATATTATATTATATTATACAATACAGCCAAAACACTCAGGTTATTTAACTAGCCAAAGAAAAATGCTAATCTAAAACGTGAAAGAGTCATACTACTATTTGTTTGTTGTGCAGTATTTTACTTTGGGGGTAAAATCAGGACATGTTATTTATTTTTGCTGTCATATTTCCTGTCCCATCATTTTAGATGAGGTTTGCACACATTGGAGTTCTGATTAATGTATTCCTGTGTTAATGAGTGTACGGTCCTGCCTCCAGGAATGATAATGAAAGCTCGTTAGGGGAATACAAAAACATCTCTAACAACATTAGTGAGCATCTGTATAACCTGATGGATGTGCTGAACACGCATTTAGTCTTTCTGTGTCTGAGTGTTTACTATGAGATCTCCTCAAGTCAAGCAATCTTTTCAAACTACTAAACATAAGGAGATATAGTAGTAGGGGAGATATGTCTAAGTTATGAGCAAAATTGAATATGGCTCAACAAAGACAGATGATATTGCATAAAGCAAAACAAATGGAAGACAATTAATTATATGGTTGGTGTTGCCCCCTCCTTTACAGGGCCAATAGAAATATCTAATAATAGCTGCGAGCAGCAATGAACGGGGTTCACAGGATGACAGAAAGGACACAAGATTTGTCACATGCTTCGTAAACAACAGGTGTAGACTAACAGTGAAATGCTTACTTACAGGCCCTTCCCAACAATGCAGAGAGAGAAAAAAGAGAAATAATAGAAAAAGAATAACACAAAGAATAAATATACAATGAGTAATGATAACTTGGCTATATACATGGGGTACCAGTACCGAGTCGATGTGCAGGGGTACGAGGTAATTGAGGTAGATAGATGGGTAACAATGCGAGCACTCTATCATGTAGGAATGATCTTCATTTATACAATGGGTGGGTCTAATCCTGAATGCTGATTGGATAAAACCGCATTCCAGCCAGTGTCTATTCCACAAGTTGCCACCGGCTAAATCTATCACGTTAAAATGCCTATTTACTATGTTCCATCTGACTGCGCAATCCACTGTCTCATCAGCCCAGCCAGGCAACTTATAAACTTGATCTCCACTATAAAAAGCATCATCTCAAATATATTTTAAACTAACATTTCGTTTTCAACAGCGGAGATTTGTATAAACCTTGCTGTCTGTCTCTCTGACATTTGCGACATTGTTTCAATATTCAAATTCGATCTCCTGCTGTCCCATAGTAATGAACGTGTCGGGACGAGACAGACAGACAGACAGACAGACAGACAGGCAGGCAACGTTTCTCAGCCAGTCGAAATCATGAAACAGCTGGCATAATTTTTATGGATATATACAAAAAAATGTCAATTGAAAAAAGGTAAAAAGAAAAGCAGTCTTTCCAGCTTCAGTTTGAAGTGATTATGTTACTATAGCTGTGTTGTTGGCTAGCTCCTCTGAACAACAGAGTGAGTACATTTTCTATGCCAGGCGAAATCGCGCCTCATTAGCTCATTGTTATGGATGTATCCAAATAAATGTCACTAGAAAACAGCTTAAACAAATGCAAATGCAGCTACTTTGCTGTTATTCTGGCTGGACTTTGACATGACTGTAAATTAGCCGTAGTTGGCTAGCTAGCAGGCAAAGGATAAGAACTTTGCCAGCCAGTATGGCAATGGAACATTTAGAACGAATGACTGGGTCACGTCCATAGATACAGAACAAAAAGACTGAATGACTGGGTCGCGTCTCTAGCAACTGCAAGAATATTTGAAGATAAATACACAACGCAAGGAATTAACGATCATACTATCCAGGTCTGTGCCCAAACAGTTTGAGCTTCTACTTCTAAAAATCCAGAAATAAGTCTCTCACTGTTGCCGCTTGCTACAGACCCCCCTCAGCCCCCAGCTGTGCCCTGGACACCATATGTGAATTGATTGCCCCCCATTTATCCTCAGAGTTCGTACTGCTTGGTGACCTAAATTGGGATATGCTTAACACCCCGGCCATCCTACAATCCAAACTAGATGCCCTCAATCTCACACAAATTATCAAAGAACCTACCAGGTTCAACCCTAAATCCGTAAACATGGGCACCCTCATAGATATCATCCTGACTAATTTACCCTCTAAATACACCCCCGCTGTCTTCAACCAGGATCTCAGCGATCACTGCCTTATTGCCTGCGTCCGTAACGGGTCCACGGTCAAATGACCACCCCTCATCACTGTCAAACGCTCCCTAAAACACTTTAGCGATCTCATTCCGTCAGTAGAGGATGCCTGGGTTGTTCTTTAAAAGTAATTTCCTCTCAATCTTAAATAAACATGCCCCATTCAAAAAAGACAGAACTAAGAACAGATATAGCCCCTGGTTCTCCTCAGACTTGACTGCCCTTGACCAGCACAAAAACATCCTGTGGCGTACTGCATTAGCATCGAATAGCCCCCGCGATATGCAACTTTTCAGGGAAGTTAGGAACCAATATACACAAGCAGTTAGGAAAGCAAAGGTTAGCTTTTTCAAACAGAAATTTGCATCCTGTAGCACTAACTCCAAAAATGTTGGGACACTGTAAAGTCCATGGAGAATAAGAGCACCTCCTCCCAGCTGCCCACTGCACTGAGGCTAGGAAACACTATCACCACCGATAAATCTACAATAATCGAGAATTTCAACAAGCATTTTGCTACGGCTGGCCATGCTTTCCACCTGGCTACCACTACCCCGGCCACCAGCTCTGCACCCTCCGCTGCAACTTGCCCATGCCCCCCCCCGCTTCAGACAGCTGATGTTCTGAAAGAGCTGCAAAATCTGGACCCCTACAAATCATCTGGGCTAGACAATCTGGACCCTTTCTTTCTAAAAACTAGCCGCTGAAATTGTCGCAACCCCTATTACTAGCCTCTTCAACCTCTCTTTCGTAACGTCTGAGATCCCCAGAGATTGGAAAGCTACCGCGGTCATCCCCCTCTTCAAAGGGGGTGACACTCTAGATCCAAACTGTTACAGACCTATATCCATCCTGCCTGCCTTTCGAACGTTTTTGAAAGCCAAGTTAACAAACAGATCACCGACCATTTCGAATCCCACCGTACCTTCTCCGCTATGCAATCCGGTTTCCGAGCTGGTCATGGGTGCACCTCAGCCACGCTCAAGGTCCTAAACGATATTATAACCGCGATCGATAATAGACAGTACTGTGCAGCAGTCTTCATCGACCTGGCCAAGGCTTTCGACTCTGTCAACCACTGCATTCTTATTGGCAGACTAAATAGCCTTGATTTCTCAAATGACTGCCTCGCCTGGTTCACCAACTACTAAATCTAGAATCGGCTTCCTATTTCGCAACAAAGCCTCCTTCACTCATGCTGCCAAACATGCCCTCGTAAAACTGACTATCCTACCGATCCTTGACTTCGGCGATGTCATTTACAAAATAGCCTCCAACACTCTACTCAGCAAATTGGATGTAGTCTATCACAGTGCCATCCGTTTTGTCACCAAAGCCCCATATACTACCCACCACTGTGACCTGTACGCTCTTGTTGGCTGGTCCTCACTACATATTCGTCGCCAAACCCACTGGCTCCAGGCCATCTATAAATCACTGCTAGGCAAATCCCTGCCTTATCCTAGCTCATTGGTCACCATAGCAACACCCACCCGTAGTATGCGCTCCAGCAGGTATATCTCACTGGTCATCCCCAAAGCTAACACCTCCTTTGGCCGCCATTCCTTCCAGTTCTCTGCTGCCAATGACTGGAACGAATTGCAAAAATCTCTGAAGCTGGAGACTCTTATCTCCCTCACTAACTTTAAGCATCAGTTGTCAGAGCACCTTACCGATCACTGCACCTGTACACAGCCCATCTGAAATTAGCCCACCCAACTACCTCATCCCCATATTGTTATTTATTTTGCTCATTTGCACCCCAGTATCTCTATTTGCACATCATCTCTTGCACATCTATCATTCCAGTGTTAATACTAATTGTAATTATTTTGCACTATGGCCTATTTATTGCCTTACCTCCATAACTTGCTACATTTGAACACACTGAATATATATGTTCTGTTGTATTTTTGACTTTATGTTTTGTTTTACCCCATATGTAACTCTGTGTTGTTGTTTTTATCGCACTGCTTTGCTTTATCTTGGCCAGGTCGCAGTTGTAAATGAGAACTTGTTCTCAACTGGCTTACCTGGTTAAATAAAGGTGAATGATCAATGGAAATATTTGTTTTTCTGTAATAAGGAATTAACGACCAATGGAAATAGTTTTTTTTCTGTAATGGGGAACTGAAGATTAATGGGTCAGGGACATGGGTTGTTCTTCAGTTCAACATCTGTTTAGAATCTGTCCAGTCCAGGGCTCATAGCTATGTGGCAAGTTCTCATTGGTCCAAATTGTCTATACATTGAGCCTGAAACGGGATACTTGGTATTTGGCCATTGGCCCAATTTTATTACAAGGAATTCTAATTGGTCAACCACAGGCTAGGCTTGGGTATAAACTACACCCTCTCTCTTTGTTCAGTGGAGAAACATTGAGGACAGGGAAGAATGAACATCTACCATCTACTTTCCAGCATAACAATGATTTGTTCTCTTTGAATAAATATATTTTTCTCCCTCTGATTTGCTTTGGGGTCTGTGTTATTGAAGAATAACATCAACTGCTAACACAACCCTAGATTTGTGTCGGGACTATTATCTTGTGGAAGGATGAAATAGAATGAATAAATTAATCAAAATAATGTTTTTAATGAAAATATGTCAATCATTATTTGAATATGTCTCGGGCCTAACAACACCCGTGCCAATATATCCTCCAAACGCCGGCTTCTCTGGCATTATCACTTAATTATGTGCAATCAGTGAAAGCGTTACCATGTTCATCTCTCAATACCACAAGGATGGTGCAAGTGAGGTTTAGTCTAGTGCTGTAGGTTGGTGCCGTGGCCAACTTTGAATGCAGAAACGAATCATTCTCAAATTCTTTAGAGGCTAATTTATTGAGTCTATAGTCAATCTGATTTATGGTTCATGAGAATATATATTTTTAAAGATTTACAAAATTGTATAAAGATGGGGGAAAATCTATCCTGATGGACGTTATGGGTCCTTGAAGCAAATTTGTTCAGCATGATTAAAGGCGCCTACATACAATGTTTCAAGTCTTTAGGTCAAACGTGGCGGCGGATATGAGGGTTTAAGTGAGACGGCTTATAACAGTGCCACCTATAGGCCAATCGGTGCCATTATTTTTTACCAAGTTACGCATGGCCTCTAGTTTCTGTGTGCCAAATTTAAAAAGTACTTACTAATCTATGCTTGAGTTATTTGACCATATCAAGAACATTTTAAATAGAAGAATAACAATAGTTTTCACAACTTCGCTGTGAACCGTATTTACAGTAGTTCCTCATTGCCTTTGTCCCTCCAGACTCTAAAATATATGAAAGATATTGAGCTCTCTCTCTCTCTCCACCCCTCCCTTTCTCTAGGAGACACCAGCAGTATGAGTGTAAGTGGTACATCCCTCTTGCAGACCTGACCTTCCAGTTGCTGGATGACTCGGACGTCTGCCCCCACATCCAGGTGCTGCCGGAACACGAGATCGAGGAGATGAAGACCAAGATCTCTGTCATCAAGAGTGAGATCCAGAAGGAGAAGGTGATATATTATGTTAATTAAAAATAATATATATTTAGCCAGGTAAATCTACATGAACAGATTATCTTTTGAGGTTGTATCTAGCACTGCTTTGTTTTAGACCCAAACTAAACCCAGTTGTTATTAATTGAGCCAAAATGGTGGTGATGCGGCCCTTCCTTTGCCTCCCACTCAGTGTCAAGCCAGGTCATGGTCAGCTGGCCATTAAGGCACTGTGGAGGAAGTGTCCTGCCCAGCCTGGCCCCCCATTCTGGGCTGGGTTCCCTGGGTGTGTCCCTCCCTCCCTGGAGCCCTATGGTCTGTGTTTGTCTTACTCTCTCTCTCTATCAGAGGCTAGAACCAGCCTGCCTGGCTGGGTGATTAGGCTGGGTTCTTCTAGCTTTATTACTACTGTTGTTGTTATTGGAACACTTCCCCTCACCGCTTCCACTCTTAGACAGGTCGACTGGGGACTAGAGATCTGTGTGCCACACACACACACAAAGAGAAGGGGTCAACTTCCAGGTCATCTGGACAGAGTCAGCACGTCAGTGTGTGAATCACTTATACAGTACACTCATATGTATATACACAATCCACCCCCTCACTGTATCTACACTCACAAACAGTAGGCCTACACTCAAGCTATCCCGTGGGAAGTTTGTTTATTCTGATGAACTTGAGTACAGTGGAACAGCGATAGCCATCTAATTGTAGTTGTCAAATAAACACAGGTCCTTAGAGGATGACTGTGTTCCCGGAGATCACCTTGCCCAGTTTCCCTTCAACTCTTTACCTCTTCAACACAATAGACTTATTTATGTCAGCCCTTTGTTGTCATTTTACTGTGGAAAGCCTTGGGAGTCTATAACCTTGAAACTGCATAGGTTTACAATTGATTTACAACCTTGGCTTTAGCTGCACACTGCTTTTTTATTTCATCCATCACACACATCATCCAACAACCTCTACTTATTCTAATGGTTACTATACAGGACGGTATTTATTTCAACTTCCAGTGATTCCTTCCTTAGTAAATACCTGTTTAGGAGGTTTTGGAGAGCATAGTGTGAGTTCAAATCAAATGTAATCAATCAAATCAAATTGTATTTGTCACATGCGCTGAATAGAACAAGTGTAGACTTTACTGTGAAATGCTTACGTACGAGCCCTCTCCCAGCAATGCAGAGTTATAAAGTACGAAAAATGTGTGAATAAAAAAGGAAATAGTAACACAATAAAAGAACAACTAGGCTGTATACAAGGAGTACCGCTACCGAGTCAATGTGCAGGGGTATGAGGTAGGTGAGGTAATATGTTGGTAGGGGTAAAAGTGACTAGGCATAGATAATCAGGATAGATAATAAACAGAGTAGTAGCAGCGTGTGTGAAAGTATGTCTGTGTAAGTGTGTGTGTGTGTGTGGCGGCAATATGCATGTGTGTTGTGTGTGAGCGTATGTAACGTGTGTGTGTTGGAGTGTCAGTGTAGTATGTGGTGAGTGGGTAGAGTCCAGTGAGTGTGCATAGAGCCAGTGCAAGAGAGTCATTGCAACAACAATAAAAGTGGGTCAATGCAAATAGTCCAGGTAGCCATTTCATTAACTGTTTAGCAGTCATGGCTTGGGGGTAGAAGCTGTTTAGGAGCCTTTTGGTCCCAGACTTGGTGCTCCGGTACTGCTTTCAGTGTGTTAGCAGAGAGAATAGTCTATGACTTGGGTGGCTGGAGCATTTGACAATTTTTAGGGCCTTCCTCTGACACTGCCTGGTATAGAGGTCCTGGACTTGGAGACCTAGGCCTGTATTCACAAAGCGTCTCAGAGTAGAAGTGCTGACATTGGATCAATTTAGCCTTTTAGATTATAATGAATACGGTTATAGTAAAGGGACCTGATCCTAGATCAGCACTACTACTCTGAGAGGTTTATGAATACAGACCCTGTGCTTCCAGGTTGATACCAGACTGCTACAATGGGTCATACAGTAGGGGCAGACTGACTGACTGCACTAATCAGAGCCGGAAAAGGCTGATTGAACTGATTACAGCCAGAGCATGGCCTGACTCTGCTTCCTGGCAAGGGATGGGTTGGAGGAGGTTGTGTAGGGAATGGAGATTCTGGAGGGCAAGGACATGGACATTCCTTGGAATAGTTATCAAGCATCACACTGTAAATTCTAGTGAACAAAATGTAGCCAAATCATTTCCCCTGTTTACAAATGTCTCAGGAATACAAAATGCGTATTCATGGTCAAACACACACGATACAATTCAGGTTTAGTAGATGGTACAGTGTGTTGGATTTCATTGTGATTACAGTATAACAGGGCTATTCAACTATATTCTTACAGGGGCCAGATGTAAAGAAGGTTAATTGCAGGGGGCCGGACATTTTCCACATGCAATTATTCTTTGGAAGAACTGTATAAAAAAGTTTCGCACACACACCAATAAAGCACTTTTCTTAAAATGTAATGTTGCTAAAAGTAATAAGGAAAGAAGTGGAGGGTGCTCAACCAACGGGAGTCGAGGTGCAACCCACAAATGGGATAATCATTAAACGCTCACCATTATTATTATTATTATTTTTTTACAACTATTGAAAGCTTCTTAAAAGTAATTAGGTCATTTTATTTTCTGAGATATGTCAAATCAGGTATTGACAAATTCCAGTCTGAAGGAAGTATGCTTTGAATTCATTTCCCTCAGTCCTTCTTTTATTTTCTTCCTGAGAGTTGTAGCTTTCAGAAATGGGGTCATAATATTTTGTAGCTTTAACCGTTCAAACGCTAGAGCCAAATTCATATGAAGAAAAAAGAATCAACATGCCACATAGGCGCTAGAAACTGCTAGAAACCACACAATAGACAACCACATTAGTGCTTATCATTTTTTTTTTGCATATCTTTTTATTAATGTTCAGAATTGATCAAAGGGCCAATCTAAATTAATAAACGGCCCGGATCTGGCTCGTGGGTCGCCAGTTGAATAGCCCTGCAGTATAACAAACTGTATGTTAACATACTGCGTGCCCTGTTTGTTTCTGTGTGTGTAGAAAGCGCTGAAGGGCCAAAGTCGTAATGTGGAGCGTCTGAGGAAGAAGATGAACGAGCAGGAGTCCTGGCTGCTGTTACACTCTCCCACCATCCCTTTCCGCATACACAACAAACACGGCAAGGTAAGCTGCTACTGCGTAACCACTGGCCCTGGATCAGATATATTTTCACACTCTAATGGTTTGGGTGAAGACTGGGGGTTGGGTAATCTGATTCTAGATCTGTGTTGATGTCCCACTGCTGGCTTGCCTGTGAAGCTAAGCAGGGTCGGTCCTTGGATGGGAGACCAGATGCTGCTGGGAGTAGTGTTGGAGGGCCGGTAGGGGGCACTCTTCCCTCTGGTCTAAGGAGATCCCAATGCCCCAGGGCAGTGAAGGAGAGATTGCCCTGCGCAGGTTGTCGTCTTTCGGATGAGACGTTAAACGGGTGTCCTGACTGTGGTTATTAAAATCCCATGACACTTATTGTATGAGTAGGGGTGTTAACCCCGGTGTCCTGGTTAAATTTCCAACCTGGCCCCATTCCATCATGGCCACCTAATCATCCCCCTCATTCCTAATTGGTGTATATCACTCCTCACCTCTCCACCATGCTAGCTGATGTGTGGTGGGCGTTCTGGCACAAAAATGGTTGCCGTGCATCTCCCAGGTGGGTGCTACACATTGGTGGTGGATGAGGTGAGTTTCCCCTTACTATGTAAAGCACTTTTAAAATCTCAGTTGGTAGAAAGGCACTATATACACTGCTCGAAAAAATAAAGGGAACACTAAAATAACACATCCTAGATCTGAATGAATGAAATAATCTTATTAAATACTTTTTTCTTTACATAGTTGAATGTGCTGACAACAAAATCACACAAAAATTATCAATGGAAATCAAATGTATCAACCCATGGAGGTCTGGATTCGGAGTCACACTCAAAATTAAAGTGGAAAACCACACTACAGGCTGATCCAACTTTGATGTAATGTCCTTAAAACAAGTCAAAATGAGGCTCAGTAGTGTGTGTGTGGCCTCCACGTGCCTGTATGACCTCCCTACAATGCCTGGGCATGCTCCTGATGAGGTGGCGGATGGCCTCCTGAGGGATCTCCTCCCAGACCTGGACTAAAGCATCCGCCAACTCTTGGACAGTCTGTGGTGCAACGTGGCGTTGGTGGATGGAGCGAGACATGATGTCCCAGATGTGCTCAATTGGATTCAGGTCTGGGGAACGGGCGGGCCAGTCCATAGCATCAATGCCTTCCTCTTGCAGGAACTGCTGACACACTCCAGCCACATGAGGTCTAGCATTGTCTTGCATTAGGAGGAACCCAGGGCCAACAGCACCAGCATATGGTCTCACAAGGGGTCTGAGGATCTCATCTCGGTACCTAATGGCAGTCAGGCTACCTCTGGCGAGCACATGGAGGGCTGTGCGGCCCCCCAAAGAAATGCAAGCCCCACACCATGACTGACCCACCGCCAAACATGCTGGAGGATGTTGCAGGTAGCAGAACGTTCTCCACGGCGTCTCCAGACTCTGTCACGTCTGTCACATGTGCTCAGTGTGAACCTGCTTTCATCTGTGAAGAGCACAGGGCGCCAGTGGCGAATTTGCCAATCCTGGTGTTCTCTGGCAAATGCCAAACGTCCTGCACGGTGTTGGGCTGTAAGCACAACCCCCACCTGTGGACGTCGGGCCCTCATACCACCCTCATGGAGTCTGTTTCTGACCGTTTGAGCAGACACATGCATATTTGTGGCCTGCTGGAGGTCATTTTGCAGGGCTCTGGCAGTGCTCCTCCTGCTCCTCCTTGCACAAAGGCGGAGGTAGCAGTCCTGCTGCTGGGTTGTTGCCCTCCTACGGCCTCCTCCACGTCTCCTGATGTACTGGCCTGTCTCCTGGTAGCGCCTCCATGCTCTGGACACTACGCTGACAGACACAGCAAACCTTCTTGCCACACCTCGCATTGATGTGCCATCCTGGATGAGCTGCACTACCTGAGCCACTTGTGTGGGTTGTAGACTCCGTCTCATGCTACCACTAGAGTGAAAGCACCGCCAGCATTCAAAAGTGACCAAAACATCAGCCAGGAAGCATAGGAACTGAGAAGTGGTCTGTGGTCACCACCTGCAAAACCAGTCCTTTATTGGGGGTGTCTTGCTAATTGCCTATAATTTCCACCTGTTGTCTATTCCATTTGCACAACAGCATGTGAAATGTATTGTCAATCAGTGTTGCTTCCTAAGTGGACAGTTTAATTTCACAGAAGTGTGATTGACTTGGAGTTACATTGTGTTGTTTAAGTGTTCCCTTTATTTTTTTGAGCAGTGTAAATCCAATATATTATTATTTACTTTTCCACCACTGGAGGGAGCTGGTGTCCTATAAAATTTGATTTCCCCCTGTTTTGTCCTCAGAGCTACCTGTTCCTCCTGTCTTCAGACTATGAGAGGTCAGAGTGGAGGGAGAGCATCCAGAAACTACAGAAGAAAGGTACAGGAGTCAGGAGAGTGAGAGGACAGGCTGATATAGTTTTTTAAAACAACTATGCCATGGATTCAATGCCTTCAATGCAATTGCACATTTAAAGAACCTATAGCCTGGCTGTATGTTCAGGTTTATTAACGGTGTGTTTCTGTGTTGGTCTTCAGATCTGCAGACGTGTCAGTTGAGCTCTTTAGAGCTGCAGGTCCTCACCAGCTCCTGCTTCAAACTCCGAACTGTCCACAACATCCCTGTCACCAGTTATAAAGATGGTAGGTCACACACACACACACACACACACACACACACACACACACACAGACACACACACACACACACGTATGTGTGTACAAACACATGCACAGACACAAACACGTTCACCTCTCCTTCCTTTCCCCTCTGTTTTGAGTTAAAACCCACAAACACATCTACTTTCTCAGCACAAAAATAGAAATGGGTTGGTAAGGAATCTAGGTTACAATGTGTTTCTCATCTAGTGATATGTGCCATGGTGTGTGTGTGTGTGTGTGTGTGTGTGTGTGTGTGTGTGTGTGTGTGTGTTGCAGCAGGGTTCAGATGGAATGTTTGGATTGGGGTGACATTAAAGCCAGCTGGGAGACCTGCTGTGAGCTCCCAGGATGCACAGGGGGACAGGAAATGGCAGGGAGACACACACTCATACACAACACTGTTATACCATTACACTCGGTCCCACATTAAACAAACAAGAAAGCGTTCATAAAGTCTTCATAAGTCACTTTTTACTTTTACGTCAGTAAGCAGACGCTCGTGGGAATCGCACCCACAACCCTGCCGTTGCAAGCGCCATGCTCTACCAACTAAGCCACATGGGACCCCACTATGCACCACAAATCCCACACTCATGGTTTTCATGGTTGCTTCTACAGTCCTTAGAGATGTAATATCTTCATCAAAAGACAAACATGTTTTCTTGCAAGGCAAGGGTGTTTCTCCTCCTGTGCTTTTGCTTACACTGAATGATACATTGTTATCTTGCTAGATTTCTGCTAGACTTAGTTTAGTAAGTTGGATATCATGTACAGTAGTATAAATCTAAATTGGCCACAATATTTGCAAGTCACATTAGGATTATCTGAGTCTGGCCACAGCATTGTAAACCCATGATTACAGACAGTGATATACACTGAGTTTACAAAACATTAGGAGTGTTCAAAACACTAATATTGAGTTGCACCCCCTTTTTCCCTCAGAACAGCCTCAGCCTTCTGCCCTCAGAACAGTCGAAAGTGTTCCACAGGGATGCTGGCCCATGTTGACTCCAATGCTTCCCACAGTTGTGTCAAGTTGGCTGGATGTCCTTTGGGTGTTGGAGCATTCTTGATACACAAGGGAAACTGTTGCGCATTCAAAGGAACTTAAATATTTTGTCTTGCCAATTCACCCTCTGAATGGCACACATACACAATCCATGTCTCAAGGCTTAAAAATCATTATTTAACTTGTCTCCTCCCCTTTATCTACACTGATTGAAGTGGATTTAACAGGTGACATCAATAAGGGATCATAGCTTTCATCTGGATTCACCTGGTCAGTTTATGTCATGGAAAGAGCTAATGTTCCTAATGTTTTGTACACTCAGTGTATTTTGATGGTACAGTGCTTCCCCTTGTGGTGACCTGAAGTACAGCTCCTGGCTGGCACAGACGGTCAGTTTGTCAAAGCAACTCCCTTTATACTCACATCAAACACTTCTGTTTGCTCTCCAGTTTAGAGGGGATCTGACATGTGATTAAGCAAAGCAAAGCATTCTTTCTCCTCGATAGTCACTATACAGCACAGTATGGCAAAACAAAGGCTCCAGTTCAGTTCATTGGCATTTGACATATGTTCTACCACTAAAACAGACACACACACCATGCTATGAAATGATTAAATGTAGGGAGTAGCAGAGTAGCTGAGGGGGTGAAATAAAGACCAGCTGGAGGAGGAATGTGATCCCCTAGATACCATCACTCTGTCTGACACAACACTCAGGCCATTATAGGGACCAGGTAGAAGAAACTAGCTACAGATCTAGGATCAGATTACTCTAACCCTGATCCTGACCTTAAACATTAGGGGGTTCTAGGAATACACATTGACATGTTATTACTACCATATTCTTTGAGTATTTTTGTTGTGGTTATGATAGAGACAGAATACCATCTTTTAAAAAGAGCAGTGGAGGGGGGAAACGAAAGTTTAGAGTCTAGAGTAGACCTTCTCTTGGCTTCTCCCTCTCTCTTGGTGGCATGACCTGTCTCTGACTGAACACATACAGTCCATAGCACCATACATACACATGACATATTGTTTTTCCAGGACTCAGTTTTTCGCCTCTCATCTCAGTAGTGGTCCAGAGCATAACCCGATGGGCCTGCAGGGATCTCCAAACAGGCCTTCTCCAGTTTCAAACCCCTGTTTATTTACCAGGAAGCGCGCAGGCCTCACAGGCCTCCGCAACATAATCATACAGGGGACAAGAGAGGGAGAGGGGAAGCATAGGTGTGTGTATTGGATTGTGTGTGTGTAGGCTGGCGTGTGTGTGTTTTCAAGGCCCACCCAAGAACATGCTTGTGAATATTTATCTGTCTAAGGCTAAGATACATACACATATACCATGGGGCAAAATTATTCCTCCTGTTTTCCTGCTAATGTCAGAGAGAAATGAGGGAGTTGTGGGACAGCTGTATGGGATGCCTTGGTGTTGAGGTCACACACTAAGATGAATGAAGCAGAGTGTGTGATTGAACCTGATCTCCTCCATCTACCACAGCTCAGTGTGTGGTGTGTGTGTGTGTGTGTGTGTGTGTGTGTGTGGACCCAGTCCTCTTCATCGTCTTTGCTTCCTTCTCCAACATGGGGCTTCAGTTAGTCCACCTGAAAGAATACCTCACACAAGCACACTGACACACACACACACAAGCAATGTCACTAAAATATATACTACTACACTGTTCATTGCAAATGAAATGTACCCTCGGCTATGAGGTAACGGGATACGTCCCAAATGGCACCCTGTTCCCTATATAGTGCACTACTTTTGACCAGAGCCCTACGGACCAAAAGTAGTGCACTATATAGGGAATAGGGTGTCATTTGGGACGCAGCCTCGGGGTTATGAGAATTAATTTTCCCAGGTCACATCCAGGTCACTGATAATGAGTGTAACTAACTGCGTTGTGTTGTTTTGTGCTGTGTGTTCCAGATGAGGAAACCCCAGGCCTGTATGGATTCCTCCATGTGATCGTCAACTCTGCCAAAGGCTTCAAAGAGTCAGCCAGTAAGTCTCTCTGTCATACTGGGCTTATACTGCACTGTGCTCAGCATCTGCTCTGTGTCTGTGTCTGTGTCTGTGTCTGTGTCTGTGTCTGTGTCTGTGTCTGTGTCTGTGTCTGTGTGTGTGTGTGTGTGTGTGTGTGTGCATGTGCATGGATGCACACACGTGTCCATCAGCATCTTTCAGCTTTTGTATGTGTGCTCGACACAAGGACGTTCATTTTATGGATCAGCACATCTTGATGGTTATAGCATATCATTTACAGCTTGTGCCACAACCCAACAAAGAGGACAGAGGTTACAGGGAGAAAGGGTTCAGGGTTACCATGTCTGTCCCTGCACACTGGTTCTCTTCTCCACAGTAAATCATTTTACAAGGCCACAACACAGACCCCCAGCACAGAGGTAGAAGTTACCACTGAAACCGGGTCAGGTATTATTTAATCCCCCTAATGGTTAAGGATTTGAAGTAATGGACTATCTGATCCAAAATCTGTGGTTAGGTGCAACTGCTACCTCGTGCTATTACTGACTTGTGGCCGGGGTTCTCCTGGTAAAAGAGAGAGAGGGATGGAGAGGAAGAGATAGAGGTGGAGAGAGAGCGCGAGAGAAAGAGAAAGAAAGCCACAGGGCCAGTCCCTGAGGAGCAGCTCTGGACCACAGTCACATTCCTGTGGCTCCTTTGATGCTAGGGTCCGTCAGGGACACAACTACTCCATAAAGAGAGCTGACAGGAACAGAGTGGCCCCTACACAGCCACAGCCGAGCCCTCAACGGACACACACACACACACACACACTCACGGACAGTGAAGGCCAGGAGAAGCTTTTTCTCTCTATCCCTATCTCTCTCCCTCTCTTTCTCTCTCTCCCCCCTCTCTCTCTCAGCCGACAGACACACCCTGGCCTCACCCCGCCTGGTGTGTGCATGATAGCCCTAGCCCTGACTGCCTGTATGTGTTATCAGGGGGATATGATGTCAGAGAGCCCTAGAGTGTCGCAGATATGTCTGTACCAGACAGCTGGCGCTCCACTGAACACTCTCCACTGTCTGTTACCCTGTTACACAAGAAGCACCAGTTCAAATATTACCACAGCAGGAAAAAAAAGACCCAACGAAATACGCCTCCGCCTCAGTTACTATGACAGCCTGTACTGTAGTATACTTTATGAAAGCTTCAGAGAGAGATTTTCTTGTGTAATGGGTTGGGGAAAAATTGGAAAGCTGTCTCCACTGAAAGCCTGTTTGATCCTCACCGGAGCAGTGGGCATAATTGTTTAAAAATGAAGAAGCATGTTGAAGTGGTTTGGTTTTACTTTCCCTCAATTTTCTCATGGACCGTACCATTGTCATGCCCCTCTGATATGCGGGGGGGAGTATGTAAGAAATGTAAAAGGTGCTGTTTTAGTCTAAACACCCCTTCATGGGTACATAGTGTCTCCTATGTCTATGTAGCGGGTCGTAGCTAGCATAATGATGCAGTTAAGCCACCTACCTACCTGAGACCAAGTCACCTCTGAACCCCAACAACCTGGTTCAACAGTATGATACAGTATAGTTGGCTTGGAGTGTGTGGAGTATTGTTGGGAGAGTGGAGTTAAATCTCAGAGGGAGTTGGTAGATGTTTCATCTATCCTGGGTCTTGTCCTCTGTGGTGTTTGGATGACATTTCCTCTAATATATCTCACCACCAGGCATGCTGGCCATCGTCATCATAGACCATTGATGAGACACATTGTCACCGTCACCCCCCTCCAGACCACTGTTAATCAGGGAGATGTCATCTGCCTCCGTCCCATTATAAAGTACACAATTATGGATCTGTCCCAAATGGCGCGCTATTCCTTATGTAGAGCACTACTTGTCAAAAGTAGTACACTACACTGAGTGTACAAAACATTAGGAACACCTGCTCTTTCCATGACTTAGACTGACCAGGTGAATCCAGGTGAAAGCTATGATCCCTTATTGATGTCACCTGTTAAATCTACTTCAATCAGTGTAGATGAAGGGGAGGAGACAGGTTAAATAATTATTTTTAAGCCTTGAGAAAATTGAGACATGGATTGTGTATGTGTGCCATTCAGAGGGTGAATGGGCAAGACAAAATATTTAAGTGCCTTTGAACGGGGTATGGTAGTAGGTGCCAGGCGCACCGGTTTGAGTGTGTCAAGACCTGCAACGCTGCTGGTTTTTCACGCTCAACAGTTTCCCGTGTGAATCTAAGAATGGTCCACTACCCAAAGATCATCCAGACAACTTGACACAACTGTGGGAAGCTTTTGGCGTCAACATGGGCCAGCATCCCTGTGGAAGGCTTTCGATACCTTGTAGAGTCTATACCCTGACGAATTGAGGCTGTTCTGAGGGCAAATGGGGGTGGTGCAACTCAATAGTAGGAAGGTGTTCCTAATGTTTTGTCCACTCAGTGTATATAGGGATGCTGTTTGGAATGCAAGTCTGATAGAGATGTCTTAGTTTGTTAGGACATTTCTTTGAGAAGGGACATTATGGAGACTGTAGAGTACACTGTAGAGTAGACTGTAGAGTACTGTAGAGTAGACTGTAGAGTAGACTGTAGAGTAGACTGTAGAGTAGACTGTTAAGAGTGAGGACTGTAAGAGTAGACTGTAGAGTAGACTGTAGAGTAGACTGTAGACTGTAGAGTAGACTGTAGAGTAGACTGTAGAGTAGACTGTAGAGTAGACTGTAGAGTAGACTGTAGAGTAGACTGTAGAGTAGACTGTAGAGTAGACTGTAGAGTAGACTGTAGAGTAGACTGTAGAGTATAGACCGTAGAGTAGACTGTAGAGTAGACGGTAGAGTAGACTGTAGAGTAGACCTAGAGATAGAGTAGACCGTGAGTAGATAGACGTTACTAGAGTAGACCGTAGAGTCAGACTGTAGAGTAGACTGTAGAGTAGACTGTAGAGTAGACTGTAGAGTAGACCGTAGAGTAGACCGTAGAGTAGACCGTAGAGTAGACCGTAGAGTAGACCGTAGAGTAGACCGTAGAGTAGACCGTAGAGTAGACTGTAGAGTAGACCGTAGAGTAGACCGTAGAGTAGACTGTAGAGTAGACTGTAGAGTAGACTGTAGAGTAGACCGTAGAGTAGACCGTAGAGTAGACTGTAGAGTAGACCGTATGTGGATCTGATATTTCATGTGTTTAGTTTTATTGTCGGCTTCCCCTGTCTCTGCCCTTAAATTTTGCATTGCTCTGATTCTATCTTTAGGGCATATTGTGTGTGTGTACAAGCCATATGTCACCCATTTGCTCCCTTGCATAAACGTGTGTGCCTGTGTTGGTGTGATTTGAATGTGTTGTGTGTATTTGCTTGTGTATTTGTATACAGTGCTACTCTATGTTTAGCCCGTAGCACACTACAACATACGGTACCTTCATATGAAGCAGACACTGGAGTCAGAAGATACCTCTCCAGGGTTGTTTTTAGGAACTGCAGTATGTACAAATATGTCCTATTAAAACTATCTTATCAGCGTTGCCACCCGTAGTTTCCTTCAATAGGAAGCAGAGATACATTTCAGCTCAGGGCAACGTTTCAAAAGTGGGTCAGAAGAAGTAGCTAAGAGTCTACTGGTCCCCTCCAAAATACAATACAAAAATAAGGGGAAAACATTGACCTAGAATAGAGGTGTTGACAGAACTGTGGGAATCATTGTAGTCAACATGGGCCAGCATCCCAGTGGAACGCTTTCGACACCTTGTAGAGTCCATGCCCCGACGAATATAGGCTGTTCTAAGGGCAAAAGTTGGTGCCACTTATTATTAGGAAGGTGTTACTAATGTTTTGTACGCTCAGTAAATGTCATGTTTTGAACTTGAAGGAGAGAGATCTTCTCATCTCTTCCTGTCTATATATAATGTATATAATATCTCCCTGCATCTTTTTTTCATACAACCCTTTTTTTCTTTACTTTTATTCGTGTTTTCATCCCGGATCCAATGAAAAATAATAAGCAGACAAACCCTCCTCCCCTCCCTGTATCTAAGTCTTGTTGTTCATCCAGACCCAGTTTAGATGTACTGATTGCTTTAAGTCTTCAAAATGACTGTTTTAGTCTCAGGTTTCCCTGCCCACTGTTTCACCTACCAATGAACACACATCTGCAGGCTAGGATTAGGAAGAGGTCACACACACACACACACACACACACACACACACACACACACACACACACACACACACACACACAAAGAGAAGGGGTCAACTTCCAGGTCGTCTGGACAGAATCAGGATGGTATCCATTAAGCTCAGTAGTCGGTGTCTGTGTGTGTGACTGGTCAGACCCCTCACTGACCACCAGATTCATGAGGGCAGGAAGAGGCCTGCCAATAAAATGACAGCCCTCAGGGCTTATTCAACCAATCACCACCAGTCTCCAGCTCTCCTTCTCCTCGTGTCACATTTCTGAAGGCTCCTCTGACAACACTACTAGCACACATTAAAACGAGGCGAAATATGCCGTTTTTTTATTTTAGGATTTAAGTCCAGACCTATAAACCTACTTCAGATTTGATGTGAAAATAAACTTTTAGATAAAAGTAGCCCAGGAGTATGAAGTATGAATGTTTCCCTTAGTGGTGTTGGGTTTACACTAAGTCTGAACAGGCCTAACTTTCAGAGAGGTGCTGGGGAACAGAGGTGTAAATCTGACACAGCAGGGAGTTGTGCGTCCGATTATAGTTTTTCTCTAAACGGAGCCAAATGCTATTTCTGTGAGCATTAACAGTGATAAACTACCCTGTTCTAACTCTCTGTGAACTCACTTCAGTGGAGCAGCACACTAGGCCTATGTCCAAATATGTATAGTACTATTTATTTCCCAGTAGTCTTGAATTTCCCATACTTTGTGTGCGTCCCAAATTACACCCTATTCCCTGTATATAGTGCCCTACTTTTGACCAGGGCCCATAGAGCTCTGGTCAAAAGTAGTGCACTATATAGGGTTCCATTCGGGACTCAGACTTTGAATTTAACTGATAGAGACAGTAGTTAGTGTGTTTTCCAGCTCCTCTTCCTCTCACTCTGATAGTCACCCACATGGTGAATGTGTTTAATTACTAAAGCGTGACTCCATTTTGAAAACACCCCCAAATGGTCAGTTACCCCCCACCCCACATGAAAAGAGATGCCGTTCCTCTCTCCAGTCTGGATCCTTCTGCTTGTCCTGCCATATCTCAACTGGTTGGTATGATACCTTAACCGCAGAGGTGGGACCAAGTCACTATTATTTGAGTCACAAGCAAGTAACAAGATCTGAGTCTCAAGTCGAGTCCCAAGTAGAACGGGTCAAGACTCGAGTCAAGTCCAAGTCGTGCATTCTAGTAAAAAAGTCAAGTAAAAACAATTAAAAAATATATACATGCAACGACTTGTTCAACTACAAATCTTTGTCTATTTATTGAGGCTACCAGACAGCCCTTTTGATTATTTTATCTACAACATATCTTTATTAGCTTATGTAATTGTAAAATATGGACCTTGTAGCAGTCATAAGGGCATGAAATCAGCAGAAGGCAAGGCAGGTTGACGTGCTCAGAGTGTAGATTTATTTACAGGTCTTGGTGATCCAATGGTGAAAGCTACATATCATACAAATATACAAGTAGATTGACCAAATATACATGGGCAATAGCCCAAAAGAAATAGCCTCTGTATCAGGCTTAAGCTGTCCTATCTGAACGGACACTGGTAGAGGGCAAGACTGCACAGCTTCTCCTTGAGAAACCAAATCAAGTCTGTCAAACACAGGAGCTCAAACAGGTAGGCCTACATAATATAAACACTTGGCCCCCAGGACCATACAATTACCCAATTGGCAATTACAACCAATAAACTGGTTCTACAATGTAAAAGACAATGTCCACATCTATTGTTACATTGGTACATTCGTCTTAATCAGACTAAATTATTTTTTATGATATTCCAACACCATGCATACATGGAACAATCATTTTGTCTTATTCAACCTTCTGACTCCAAAGCGTGGAGCGCAGGCCACGTAGCCTATTTCTATGCACACTGAGGCGTGGGCGCTCCTATTACGCACAACCAAAATGACAGAGATGTAGGACACGGACACACAGAACTCCGACATAGCCCGGCAAATATGAACAAAGGAAACTATACATTTAATTAAAGAAACATAACTTCTACCTCATGATTCTTTTGAAAGTTCATGTGCACTATAAACATCATGCCCACTCATAGCAGGGTAAGAAATGGTTGGCTATAAAATGAATGTATCGTAGTAGGCCTATCAGACATAAAACAGAAATGTCTACGTGTTGCAATTAACAGTAAGGTAATGGAATGATAAATCGCTAGCAATTATTGTAGTATTAGATAGAATATACATTTACCACAGAGGGCCTATGCATTTAAACATGTGAAAGCAACAGGAAACATTTCAACAAGATTTAAAAAAGCACTCTCCACTGGCAGGAGTTTGGAGTGCAAGTGAAGAGCAGCGCCTATGGTGCGTCTTCGCCACAGTAATATTTGATTTTAACAACAAATTCCAAATGCAAGCTTCATAAGTAAATTATAAATATCAAGCAATTGTTACATACCAAAAGAACAATAGTCCTATGCTAGTAATTGTTGCCCCATTTCTGGTGAGCTTGCAAAATAAACAGTTAATATTGTTGATCACCAAATTTTTTTTTAGCTGAAATCCTCACTCCCTACAATTTGACATTTGCGCTTCACCCGATCCTATAGCTGTACAGCAAATCAGCATTCTGTTTGCTAGCTCACCTGACCAGTGTTGATTGACAGTTTGCTGGTCCAATCAGAGTGCAGAGTGTGCATTTCACTAGCCAATCTGTTGCAGTTGTTTTTGCAAGGGCGATTCTGCGGCTACTGTCTCTGGCTGCGTGTAGATTAATCCACGTAGTCTCTGTGCCACAAAATGAGTGACAAAACATTACAAAACCTGGCCAGATAATTTAAAGTCATAAGTCTCAAGTCAAAGTCGAGTCCCGAGTCTTGAGGCTCCAAGTCATGTCTCAAGTCATGTCTCAACCCTAATCCAGATGTTGATATAAGTCTATGAGCTAAACCCAGACAGACATGGGTCATGCTATTGTTTTCATATTGCTACGCCATGTGTGACTATGTGCTACAGTGTAAACACTGTCTCTAGTTCTGTGCGTGGGTGATGTGACTGTATGTGTAGCAGTGGTGCCTCCCAGGGGTCAGGGTGGGTAACCATCCATCATGCTGTCAGAGAGCAGTCGAGACCCCAGGGACTCATTATGCTGTCAGAGAGCAGTCGAGACCCCAGGGACTAGCGGGGATGGAGAGAGATGGCTCAGTCTCTTAGACTATTGCAGGGGAGATATAGTAATGGGTATCTGGATAAATGACCTATGGAGACCAGTGCATTAGCATAAACATGAGTACATTAGTCTCCTGAGTGGCGCAGTGGTCTAAGGCACTGCATCGCAGTGCTAGCTGTGCCACTAGAGATCCTGGTTCGAATCCAGGCTCTGTCGCAGCCGGCCGCGACCGGGAGACTCATGGGCGGCGCACAATTGGCCCAGCGTTGTCCAGGGTAGGGGAGGGAATGGCCGGCAGGGATGTAGCTCAGTTGATAGAGCATGGCGTTTGCAACGCCAGGGTTGTGGGTTCGATTCCCATGGGGGACCAGTATGATTTAAAAAAAACAAAAAATAAAATATGTATTCACTAACTGTAAGTCGCTCTGGATAAGAGCGTCTGCTAAATGACTAAAATGTAAATGTAATTAGCCTAGCTGATGCTCTGCTGTCTGAGCTGAGGGGAATACCTGGCCCGAGGACTTGATCTGTGTGTGTGTGTGTGTTGGTGCGTGCGTGCATGTGGGCGGGTGGGCGGGCGTGCGTGCCTTATTCATTCTATCAGTAATGCAGGCCTCTACCATTAGGTGGTAAGGGCTTGAGAAACAAATTGTCAGTGACCATTGATACAGACATGATCTAGCTCTACACAATTGTGGTACGATCATATTAAAATGTCTATCCATTTACTGTCAGTATTGCTATTATTGTGTTATATGTGATGATTATTTTAGATTCACTCATTGTGATTTCTGACTCCTCTGTGTCCTGTTCAGATTTGTACTGTACCTTGGAGGTGGACTCCTATGGCTACTTTGTCAGCAAGGCCAAGACCCGCGTCTTCAGAGACACCACTGAGCCACAGTGGAACGAGGTGAGAGACCAACACTCGTCAGAGCTCCAATATTCAGATCATATTACAGTCAGTTAGTTATGCTGTCAATAGGACGTTGAACTCAATATCCAATACTCCATACAGTCCGTTAGTTTGACCAATAGGAAATAGAACCCAATTCTCATGTCCTTCCTGTCTGTTGTCCAATAGGAGTTTGAGATCGAGCTGGAGGGTTCTCAGTGCCTGCGGATCCTGTGCTATGAGAAATGCTACGACAAGACCAAGCTCAACAAGGATGACAATGAGATCGTGGACATCATCATGGGCAAGGGCCAGGTGCAGGTAAGGAGAGCGGGACAACCCTCATGTCATGAAATCAAACTCACTGTATTCTTATTCCGTAAGCATGTATGGACTTCTTTTCTATATGGACCCTCACAGAAACATACAGTACCACAAGCCATAGAGATGGAGAAATGCATTCGGCTCACAGACCTTTCCCCAACGCGTGACTCACTCTTATTGTTGTCTGGCCTCTTGTGTGCAATAGTTGGGTGTTGTGGTGGGCTACTTTGACGTGGGTCGGTTGGTTTAACTGTCTGAGAAAGAGGGACAGAGAGAGAATGAGAGAGTGAGTAAGTGAGAGGTTTTCCCCTTCCTTGTGGGAAAATACACTCTAAAAAGTCCCTCGCTCTCAGAATGTCCTGTGACTGTAACATGTTTAGGAAGGTTGTGCATTGCAGTCTGTGGTTAGTTATTAAGACTCATCACGTTGTTGTTTCTCCCTCACATAGTCTCAGTAGTCTCTTCTCACAACCACTGTATCACCATGAGTCTGACAAGGGACCACTATTTGTAGCTTTCCCAGAGACTCCTTGTTCTTCCATCAGGTCAAGTGGGGCTTGACTCTTTTAATTTAGTCTGTAGCTGCGTAGTGTAGTTATGACTTTCCACTGTCATTTTAGTGATAGCTATTCTCCTCTTCAGGCCTGTTTATGTTATCCCAGCGTCCGCCATCTTTGATTTTCCTCCTAAATCTGGGTCAACTTTGAGGATTATTAAAGGAGTATTACTAAAGAATGCACAGTACTGTATTGTTGTTTATTTCTCTAGTGGTGCAATTGTAGTGTAGCTAGAGGTGAGCTTAGAGCATGTTTGACTCTTTAGTTCCTTAACCTGGTTCTTCAAAATGAAAATAAAGTCCCACTACACCCACACAGAAATCAGTGTCAACTATTCACTGGTGTTGTTGGTGGTTGTTACAGCACAGAACAACAGCTTTTTCAGGTAGAAACGAGCTCACTGCCTAGTCGTCATGGGAATACGAGCTCTCTCAAACGGCGGACTCTGAAAAGTGGGGCAAACTAGAAATGTTGAGTGAAAATGATTCCTTTTAAGACAAGTCACAGCTAAAGCGTTCTTCTCCAAACGATTCAACTAGTGTTGTGTGGAGAATATACTTAGACGGTATATTTGTGTACTATATAAATAACAAACTATTAGCCTAGATTGTGATTGTTCATATTCTTCTTACATTTCTTATCTTACACTCCAGCATCTCTTTAGTTCTTTGCCGTTTGTTTTGTGTTTTCTGTTCTTGACTGACGTGTCAATGCTTCTCTTCAAGTATAGCGAAGGATCTCACTCCACACTGCCCTCTCATTGGCAGTCCAATTTGGAGAGAGTTTGTTTTTATAGAGCTGTTTAAATGGTTGCCTGTTTCTTTTCCCTAACTACCTGTAGAAAAGCTGTTTGGATAGAGCATGTTTTATTTGCCTCTAGTGAACCAGAGAGCAGCTCTGGCCTGTCTAAGTGAATGGTCCTGTCTGCGTACTAACTCTGCGTAGGAACTGAGGAATGTTCACATTCTCTCGCTATGCTATACATTCTGAGATGTCAGGTACTTGAGTTATGGTGACATCATCGTAGCCCATACAGTTGAAGTCGGAAGTTTACATACACCTTAGCCAAATACATTTAAACTCAGTTTTTCACAGTTCCTGACATTTAATCCTAGTAAAAATTCCCTGTTTTAGATCAGTTAGGATCACCACTTTATTTTAAGAATGTGAAATGTCAGAATAATAGTAGAGAGAATGATTTATTTCAGCTTTTATTTCTTTCATCACATTCCCAGTGGGTCAGAAGTTTACATACACTCAATTAGTATTTGGTAGAGTTGCCTTTAAATTGCTTAACTTGGGTCAAACGTTTCGTGTAGCCTTCCAAAAGCTTCCAACAATAAGTTGGGTAGATTTTGGCCCATTCCTCCTGACAGAGCTGGTGTAACTGAGTCAGGTTTGTAGGCCTCCTTGCTCGCACACGCTTTTTCAGTCAATTTCAGTCTAATCATCAAGCCCTTGATGAGCTGAATCAAGTGTGTTTGTCCGGGGATACAACAAAAATGTGTGCTGTTGGAGGACTGGAGTTGGGAAACACTACACTACTCCATACAGTAAACACTCCTACTACTACTCCTACAACATACACTTCACCAGTACAGTAGAGTACCAACAATAATGATATTACTACCAATAATGATTTCTTCTATTTCTATCTGTTTAAAACACCTCCTGATCTTTGGCAAGGCACCTTTTGAACCAGATTATATTCCACTGTAATTCCACTGTAATCCCTTTATTTATTTTTGCCCCCGCTAATGGGTTAAGGAGGTTTCTCGTCTTCCTGCACAGCTGCAGAGGAGGAGTGGATGAGTGAGCCTGTTAGCTCTCTGATTGAACTGATTAGGAGTGGAACTCTGGAGGGTGTGTAGGATAAGTGTGTGTGTGTGGGTACTGAGGCACTGAGCTGCAGACCTGCCTCATACCAACGTCATGCCCATGGCTAAGATGTACTGTAGATGTACACTACTATAACAGCCTGGCGGAGAGGCACACTAATGTCTTCTGGGAAAACACACTGCCACCCAGCCAACAACAGCCACGTTGTCAAAAAATGAACAAATAAATAAATATATTGTTCGCTGCTAGCTGTTGGAAAAAGGAGGGAGAGAACAGAAGAGAATGGTATGTTCAGTCCCAGGCTGAGAGATGGTGGGATTATGATTGGTAATGAGTGTTGCTGTTGCTGGGGGAGAGGAGAGAGTTTCACTCTGCAGTGAGAGAGGCAGCCAATGACTTATCACTATAAGAGAGGCTTGAGCTGAAAAGGAAACTCTCAAAAGATAACTTCTCAGTATTTCCTTTGCTTGCATCAGCTCTATCGGCTGAGCGTGGGAGACCATGTCCCTGATATGAATGTGACTGTTGCTGTGTGTAATAGTGCTGGTTAAGGGACAGGGACACTGTAGAATGGGAGAGGGAGTCTCTATAGCAAGGACTGAAAGATGTTCAGAAAACACTGTGAGGAGCTAAAATGGAGTATAGAGGACATTGAAGTAAAGGGACATACTGTCGATGTTTGAGGGACTTGACTGTAGTTTACATGCAAACACTTCAAGGTGCTAAAATGTAGTTTAGTAAGGGGACAGTTTACGTCCGTAATGTCCTTCCCTGTGCATACCTTGTGGCTGAGACGTTTTCTTTGAGCTCTTCTGTTTTTGTTTCTCGTCAAGCAACTCTGAAAGGAGCCAAAATGTTTTGCTTTCCTCTCTGGAGACCTAACTGATTTATTTAACAAGACTCCAGAATACCAAAAGCCCTTAAATGGACATATCATGCAGCAACATTGCTCTTTATATTTCCTGCTACTGTTAATTTTCTTCACAGATGAGAAAGTTGAGATACTGTACAGTAAGTAAGCTATGTCCTGTAATGAGATTTCAATATCGACATTTTCCATCAGAGGACATTTTGTTTGTGTGAAGGTCTCAAATTAAGAGGATGATATATGCTAGCCTATCCTTCAATGTCTTGATAGGCTGAGTTCCATTCTCTGTTTTTGCATGAGTAGGCTAGTATATATCAAATGTGCAGTATGATACATTATTAGTATACCTTGAAACTATTAGATATACAGTGGGGGAAAAAAGTATTTAGTCAGCCACCAATTGTGCAAGTTCTCCCACTTAAAAAGATGAGAGAGGCCTGTAATTTTCATCATAGGTACACGTCAACTATGACAGACAAATTGAGATTTTTTTTCTCCAGAAAATCACATTGTAGGATTTTTTATGAATTTATTTGCAAATTATGGTGGAAAATAAGTATTTGGTCACCTACAAACAAGCAAGATTTCTGGCTCTCACAGACCTGTAACTTCTTCTTTAAGAGGCTCCTCTGTCCTCCACTCGTTACCTGTATTAATGGCACCTGTTTCAACTTGTTATCAGTATAAAAGACACCTGTCCACAACCTCAAACAGTCACACTCCAAACTCCACTATGGCCAAGACCAAAGAGCTGTCAAAGGACACCAGAAACAAAATTGTAGACCTACACCAGGCTGGGAAGACTGAATCTGCAATAGGTAAGCAGCTTGGTTTGAAGAAATCAACTGTGGGAGCAATTATTAGGAAATGGAAGACATACAAGACCACTGATAATCTCCCTCGATCTGGGGCTCCACGCAAGATCTCACCCAGTGGGGTCAAAATGATCACAAGAACGGTGAGCAAAAATCCCAGAACCACACGGGGGGACCTAGTGAATGACCTGCAGAGAGCTGGGACCAAAGTAACAAAGCCTACCATCAGTAACACACTACGCCGCCAGGGACTCAAATCCAGCAGTGCGAGACGTGTCCCCCTGCTTAAGCCAGTACATGTCCAGGCCCGTCTGAAGTTTGCTAGAGTGCATTTGGATGATCCAGAAGAGGATTGGGAGAATGTCATATGGTCAGATGAAACCAAAATAGAACTTTTTGGTAAAAACTCAACTCGTCGTGTTTGGAGGACAAAGAATGCTGAGTTGCATCCAAAGAACACCATACCTACTGTGAAGCATGGGGGTGGAAACATCATGCTTTGGGGCTGTTTTCCTGCAAAGGGACCAGGACGACTGATCCGTGTAAAGGAAAGAATGAATGGGGCCATGTGTCGTGAGATTTTGAGTGAAAACCTCCTTCCATCAGCAAGGGCATTGAAGATTAAACGTGGCTGGGTCTTTCAGCATGACAATGATCACAAACACACCGCCCGGGCAACGAAGGAGTGGCTTCGTAAGAAGCATTTCAAGGTCCTGGAGTGGCCTAGCCAGTCTCCAGATCTCAACCCCATAGAAAATCTTTGGAGGGAGTTGAAAGTCCGTGTTGCCCAGCGACAGCCCCAAAACATCACTGCTCTAGAGGAGATCTGCATGGAGGAATGGGCCAAAATACCAGCAACAGTGTGTGAAAACCTTGTGAAGACAAAGTATTGAGAAACTTTTGTTATTGACAAATACTTATTTTCCACCATAATTTGCAAATAAATTCATAAAAAATCCTACAATGTGGTTTTCTGGATTTCTTTTTCTCATTTTGTCTGTCATAGTTGACGTGTACCTATGATGAAAATTACAGGCCCCTCTCATCTTTTTAAGTGGGAGAACTTGCACAATTGGTGGCTGACTAAATACTGTTTTTCCCCACTGTAAATGCCACTGAAGAATACTGCAGTGCCCGTCCCACCCAGACTGCTGAAAGTAAGTTCTGATTTATCTGCCTTATTTCCATGGATACAGGGCACCCTGTGGGGCATAGTGAGGTCAAACTGGTGTGTGTGCATGTGTGCCTCCCTGAGGGTCAGCCACTCCAACACACACACACACACACACACACACACACACACACACACACACACACACACACACACACACACACACCAACACCCCTGCAGTACTGCTCTGATCTGTCTCTGCCTGATTGAGTCCCAGCCGGCAAGCAGCAATTAAGTTCCACATACACAGCTCTGACCCCCAAGGAGATAACCTCTGACCCTTGACCTCTAGGGGTCAAAGCCCTAATCCTCCATTAAACAACAACATGTTAGAGGCTATTTCCCACCTGTCTGTCTTTCATTTCACATTGGGAACATTTAATGGGCTCTTAATCTCCTCTGAGGGGGGCTATTGCAGAACTGATCAATATCTGTCCTCCAGATAAAATAAATATATTTGTTGCGGTTTTAACTGACATAAAACTGCAACAAAGAGATGTATTTAATCTCTAGCTGGTCCGTATTGAATGAGGGCTGTGTCTGAAATGGCAGCCTATTATAGTGCACTACTTTTGACTAAGGCCCACATAGGGAATTCCTAGGGAATAAGGTGCCATTTCAGCCCCAGCCGAAGTTGCAAGGAGGACGTTGACTGTCCTCAAATGCCTTGGTGTTGAAGCGAGAGCTCGTGTGACTAACTGACTGGATTTCCATTTCAGCCTTTTTGCATTTCAGAAATGGCTCTTTTGTGACCTTTAGGTGCCCGTGATTACTAAGAATATGTTATTTCTAAAGGGGACCGGTTACGCAACGCTTGAGATGACAACCCCGACCAGTGCTTTTGTACAGCGGACATGCATCAGTCTAAGCAGCTAAAGCCAGCAATGCTTTTATGTAGTAACCCCCCACACACACCCTCTCCTCACCCCACCCCCTGGGGCTCAAGCCCGGCCTTTAATTTCTCTCTCTCTTATCTGGAGGAGAGAGTGTTGTCTTTCATACACCCACTGCTCACACAGCCGTCCGTCTGAATGGGTTGGCTCCAGCACAGAGAAGACTGGGACTGGAGAAGATTGAGGAGATACTGATGGTATGACTCTGATATTGATAGACTGATCTTCTCCTTCTGTTAGGCGACACGTCTCTCCAGAGGCTTTATCCCACTGCCTGCTATCCCCAATGAGTTTTTCCTCATAAGAGCTGCCAGGAGTGAGACCACACTGAATTCCACTGTACTGCAATGGCCTGAACTTTGCAAGTATCCACAGTGTGTCCCTCTGTGGTGGATTCTGGTAGTTGATAGTTGAGCTGCTTGGTTTAGCCCGGTCAGTCCATAGAAATAGAATGACTACAATAGAAATGAATAGATGTCATTATATTTATAGCCTCAACTGTTGATGCCTCAGTGTGGTTTCTAATCTCATCTCTATAATCCTCCTCCCATGGCTAGGGGACAACATCACCATAACTCCTCTGACCCATCCTATACCCACATGAACCACTCTCCTCCTCTTCTCTCCACTCCACCCCCTCTCCTTTTCTCCCCTCCTTCTCTACCTCAACCCCTCTGACCCAACCTACCCCCACATGAGCCACTCTCCTCTATCCTCCCCCTCTCCTCTTCTATCCCCCTCTCCTTCACTCCTTCTCTCTCCTCTACCCCTCTCTCCTCCACTCCTCTATACTTCCCACTGTGCTGTAGTGGCGGTCCTTTTTATTTCTTCCTACTCCAGGGTGAGTGTACATGTCACAGACCTCTCTCTCTCTCTTGTCCCTCTTATTGTACCTGTATAATCTGTAACCCAGAGGTAATGGGAGACAGAGTTCAGGAGTTTGAGGAGAATGGTGTATGTGTGTGTGTTTGTGGTGAAGGGAGGCACAAAGCGCTTTGTTCCTGGCAGCCCTTACCATCAGGGCACAGCAGAACAGCACACTACAGTAAGAGAACATTGCATTACTGTAGAGCAGAGCGGCAGTAAACAATCTCCTACAGTACTCTCTAATAGAGCCAGAGCCCTCCTCAGACTCAAGACGTAAAACATAAAACACCCCATTAAAGTAGATATGTTGGTCACATTTTGGGGGGTTTATTGGTAAAAGTCAGGCGGCAGGTAGCCTAGCGGTTAAGAGCATTGGGCCAGTCACTGAAAGGTCGCCGATTCGAAATCCCAGAGCCGACTAGAAGAAAATCTGTCGATGTGACCTTGAGCAAGACACTTAACCCTATTTGGTCCTGTAAGCTCTGGATAAGAGCGTCTGCTAAATGACTAAAATATAAAATGTAAAAGTCTCTTTAGCACTAAAAAACTCTGCCTGGTTCGCAGTCTATAGATCTGGTTCGCAGTCTATAGATCCAAGCAGACTTGAGGCTCTAAAATGTAAACATCAAGTGCCAGGATGCAAGAGCCTGGTGATTTCTTCAAAACAACATGTGGAGTTAATATTAATCTGTTTCTTTGTTTGCACCCATACAGAACGTGTGTATATGTATGCGTGTTCGTGTGTGTGCCAACGTAATATGAATGAATGTAGCTAATAGGCCTGCTCATCCATCATGCTCTGGCTCCAATCATGGTGTAATCTGTCATGTCCTCCCCGATACACACCCCTACCCCGGGGCCATATACATACACACACACACACACACACACACACAGAAGATGGGCCACGAGGGTGTCTGTTCTGAGACCTCTAGAGCAAACACACACACTCTAATGGGGGTTAAATACACCCGTTCATGTAAATTATATAAATTACTCCAGCCTGCCATATACCCTTCTGTTTATTACCCCCTGTGTGGTGGGGGTGAGGGAGTGAGTGTGTGTGTTTGCACTGTATGTTTCCATGCTTTGAGAAAGGAAAGGTTTTTATTACATACAGTTGGAGCTATTCAAAGACCAACAACACCCAAAGAGCGTATTTTGGCTCACTAAGGAACGCTCCATGGAATGTAATCTTATTCCAGCCTTTAAAAGATTAACAATTTTACCCTCAATAATTTGCCCCCTCTGCATAATGGTACAGTATCTCTGGTATGATGGGTAATGGGGATCATCCTTCATATAGTCTCAATGTGTTCCTCATGTAGCTAGCATCTGGTGCCCTTTATTGATGGAGGGCAATTAGGGCTCTTCCTCATGTCTCCCCCATCTCTTTCAGTTGACAGGTTAGTTTTCTCCCCGCTCCATTTCCTAACAAAGAACCCCCTTTTCCTCAACTTTCCCCACAACTCAGTTTGACAACCTTTGTTATACCACAGAAAACATCACACTGGGACTATGTACCCTAAATAACTAGGTTGTGTTTTGGAAAGGAAGAATCGGATCATGTAAAACAGAATAATCCCTTTATTTTGTTTGAGATAGGAATAAATGAAAGAATGACCTGCCACATGTAGTTTGCATAAAAGTCATTCTGAAGACAAACCAGAGGGCCAGATTGGATCATCCACTGATTATATTTATACTGCTGCCTGATTCTATGTCTCTGACGTGGTGGCTGGGGACAGAAGACAACGTGGATTTTTAAATATATTACGACATTTGGCCATATTCTATATATTTGGAAAAAGACTAGAATGAGTTCTAGTCCTCCATAGTGGGATGTGTAGTGTGTCAGTGTGATCCTGTTTGTACTGTAAGTTAAAGGGATAGTTCACCTAAATTACATATTGGTTTCCTTACCCTGTAAGCAGTCTATGGACAAGGTGTGACCGCAATCCATGCTTTGGTTTAGTTTCCCTGGCACTGTTTCCACATGCTAACATTTTTGCATTCGTAGCACAAATCCCATTCAAGTCATGGGACCGATATTTGCATTTTCCGCGCATCATGTTCAAATCATCTATACAGTGGGGGGAAAAAGTATTTAGTCAGCCACCAATTGAGCAAATTCTCCCACTCAAAAAGATGAGAGAGGCCTGTAATTTTCATCATAGGTACACGTCAACTATGACAGACAAATTGAGAAAAAATAATCCAGAAAATCACATTGTAGGATTTTTAATGAATTTATTTGCAAATTATGGTGGAAAATAAGTATTTGGTCACCTACAAACAAGCAAGATTTCTGGCTCTCACAGACCTGTAACTTCTTCTTTAAGAGGCTCCTCTGTCCTCCACTCGTTACCTGTATTAATGGCACCTGTTTCAACTTGTTATCAGTATAAAAGACACCTGTCCACAACCTCAAACAGTCACACTCCAAACTCCACTATGGCCAAGACCAAAGAGCTGTCAAAGGACACCAGAAACAAAATTGTAGACCTGCACCAGGCTGGGAAGACTGAATCTGCAATAGGTAAGCAGCTTGGTTTGAAGAAATCAACTGTGGGAGTAATTATTAGGAAATGGAAGACATAAAAGACCACTGATAATCTCCCTCGATCTGGGGCTCCACGCAAGATCTCACCCCGTGGGGTCAAAATGATCACAAGAACGGTGAGCAAAAATCCCAGAACCACACGGGGAGACCTAGTGAATGACCTGCAGAGAGCTGGGACCAAAGTAACAAAGCCTACCATCAGTAACACACTACGCCGCCAGGGACTCAAATCCTGCAGTGCCAGACGTGTCCCCCTGCTTAAGCCAGTACATGTCCAGGCCCGTCTGAAGTTTGCTAGAGGGCATTTGGATGATCCAGAAGAGGATTGGGAGAATGTCAGATGAAACCAAAATAGAACTTTTTGGTAAAAACTCAACTCGTCGTGTTTGGAGGACAAAGAATGCGGAGTTGCATCCAAAGAACACCATACCTACTGTGAAGCATGGGGGTGGAAACATCATGCTTTGGGGCTGTTTTTCTGCAAAGGGACCAGGACGACTGATCCGTGTAAAGGAAAGAATGAATGGGGCCATGTATCGTGAGATTTTGAGTGAAAACCTCCTTCCATCAGCAAGGGCATTGAAGATGAAACGTGGCTGGGTCTTTCAGCATGACAATGATCCCAAACACACCGCCCGGGCAACGAAGGAGTGACTTCGTAAGAAGCATTTCAAGGTCCTGGCGTGGCCTAGCCAGTCTCCAGATCTCAACCCCATAGAAAATCTTTGGAGGGAGTTGAAAGTCCGTGTTGCCCAGTGACAGCCCAAAAAACATCACTGCTCTAGAGGAGATCTGCATGGAGGAATGGGCCAAAATACCAGCAACAGTGTGTGAAAACCTTGTGAAGACTTACAGAAGACGTTTGACCTGTGTCATTGCCAACAAAGGGTATATAACAAAGTATAGAGAAACTTTTGTTATTGACCAAATACTTATTTTCCACCATAATTTGCAAATAAATTCATTAAAAATCCTACAATGTGATTTTCTGGATTTTATTTTTCTCATTTTGTCTGTCATAGTTGACGTGTACCTATGATGAAAATTACAGTCCTCTCTCATCTTTTTAAGTGGGGGAACTTTTGGTACAATTGGTGGCTGACTAAATACTTTGTTTCCCCACTGTAAGTGACTTTGTTGAGCTTCACAATCAATTTTACACTGAACAAAAATATAAACGCAACATGTAAAGTGTTGGTCCCATGTTTCATGAGCTGAAATAAAAGATCCCTGAAATGTTCCATGCACACAAAAAGCTTATTTCTCTCCAATTTTGTGCACAAATTTGTTTACATCCCTGTTAGAGAGCATTTGTCCTTTGCCAAGATAATCCATCCACCTGACAGGTGTGGCATATTAAGAAGCTGATTAAACATAATGATCATTACACAGGTGCACCTTGTGCTGGGGACAATAAAAGGCCACTCTAAAATGTGCAGTTTTGTCACACAACACAATGCCACAGATGTCTCAAGTTTTGAGGGAGTGTGCTATTGTCATGTTGACTGCAGGAATGTCCACCAGAGCTGTTGCAAGATAATTCAATGTTCATTTCTCTACCATAAGTCGTTTTAGAGAATTTGGCAGTATGTCCAACCGGCCTCACAACCGCAGATCACGTGTAACCACAACAGCCCAGGACCTCCACATCCGGCTTCTTCACCTACGGGATCGTCTGAGCGGTGGTGGGGGGGTGCTGAGAAGTATTTCTGTCTGTAATAAATCCCTTTTGTGGGGAAAAAAACGAATTCTGATTGAATGGGCCTGGCTCCCCATTGGGTTGGTCTATGCCCACCCATGGCTGCGCCCCTGCCCAGTCATGTAAAATCCATAGATTAGGACCTAATTAATTTATTTCAATTGACTGATTTCCTTGTATGAACTGTAACTCAGCAAAATCTTTGAAAATGTTACATGTTGTGTTTTAGATTTTTTTCAGTAGAGATACTTTTGGATGATTTGGACA